CCCACCGACTCCCACAGCTACCTGGAATACTCCTCCTCCCACCCACCTTCCTGCAAAAATGCTATCCCCTATTCCCAATTCCTTCGCCTCCGCCGCATCTGCTCCCAGGATGAGGCATTCCACTCCCGTACATCTCAGTTGTCCTCGTTTTTCAAGGACCGTAACTTCCCCTCCTCGGTGGTCGAGAACGCCCTCAACCGTGTCTCCCACATCTCCCGCACCTCATCCCTCACACCCCGTCCACGCAATAAGAACCAACAAAGAATCCCCCTCGTCCTCACGTACCACCCCACCAACCTCCGGATCCAACGCATCATCCTCCGACACTTCCGCCATCTGCAATCCGACCCCACCACCAAAGACATCTTTCCCTCCCCACCCTTATCTGCTTTCCGGAGGGACAACTCTCTCCGTGACTCCCTTGTCTGCTCCACACTCCCCTCCAGCTCCACCACACCCGGCACTTTTCCCTGCAACCGCAGGAAGTGCTACACCTGCCCCCATACCTCCTCCCTCACCCACATCCCAGGCCCCAAGAAGACTTTCCACATCAAGCAGATGTTCACCTGCACATCTGCCAATGTGGTATACTGCATCCGCTGTACCCGGTGTGGCCTCCTCTACATCGGGGAAACCAAGCGGAGGCTCGGGGACCGCTTTGCAGAACACCTACGCTCGGTTCGCAATAAACAACTGCACCTCCCAGTCGCGAACCATTTCAACTCCCCCTCCCATTCCTCAGACGACATGTCCATCCTGGGCCTCCTGCAGTGCCACAACGATGCCACCCGAAGGTTGCAGGAACAGCAACTCATATTCCGCTTGGGAACCCTGCAGCCCAATGGTATCAATGTGGATTTCACAAGTTTCAAAATCTCCCCTCCCCCTACCGCATCCCAAAACCAGTCCAGCTCGTCCCTGCCTCCCTAACCTGTTCTTCCTCCCACCTATCCCCTCCTCCCACCTCAAGCCGCACCTCCATCTCCTACCGACCAACCTCATCCCGCCCCCTTGACCTGTCCATCCTCCCTGGACTGACCTATCCCCTTCCTAACTCCCTACCTACACTTACCTTTTACTGGCTCCATCCCCACCTCTTCGACCTGTTTGTTTCCTCTCCACCTATCCTCTCCTCTATCCGCCTCCCACTCTCTCCCTATTTATTTCGGAACCCCCTTCCCCTCCCCCTTTTCTGATGAAGGGTCTCGGCCCGAAACGTCAGCCTCTCTGCTCCTATGATGCTGCTTGGCCTGCTGTGTTCATCCAGCCCTGCACCTTGTTGTCTCGGATTCTCCAGCATCTGCAGTTCCTACTATCTCTGAGTGAATTTTTTTATGACTGTTTCAAGCATTTGAGCTTAATTCTCTGTTTTCTGGCGGAGAGACAAATATAATGTTTAATCACATTGTTTTTGTTTGGCGGATAATGAAGGGAAGACAGCATAAATGATTTGCAATGTTCCAAAAAGTCATTTCATAAAAATTATGTTTTGTAGTCTGAGTAATGTAACTCAATTCTTCAGAACTCACCACAATTGTTGAATAGAGTATAATGGTTCAATATGATTATATAAGCTATCTTCTGATTTCTGAACTCTGGATTTACATCGAATCCAAACTGAGGGAATGAAAATATTTCAGTCTCTCCACTGGCTTGAAATAAGCAATGCTACCTCCAGTATAAAGCCAGTCCACCTTTGGCACTATATTGGCCCTTTCACATTGGTGGGTGCTGAAGTATACTCTTAAACTAGAAGTAATTTTGACCGGATGGGACCTAATCTACAGCTGTGTGATAGTTATATGGATGGTGTCCTATTCCCCTGCAGTAACATTCTTCACTGTCATACACGCAAAAGATCAGCCAAAAAGGATTTGCGAATTCCTGAATAGTTGCTATGGGAATTTTATGGCTCTAAGATGTTGCTTGAGCCACATGAATTAGCAAGAAAATGTCAAATGCTGCAGGGTGATTTTATGCAGTAGAGGTCAGGATTACTGGAGCAAATATCAGTTTTGTTTTTAATCCGCAAACAGCAAGTGAATTGCACGATATAATAAAGTAAAAAAATAGAAAATGTCGATCACGTTGAGGGCCTTTGACATGTTTCTCAAGTTTGACCCATTTTTAAAATATAGGCCACCGCAGCTTCACTGGAAAGAAATCTGAAATATCCTTCACAGGATGAAACATTACCCATAATCCTCCTGGAGGCTGATGTCCTGCCCAGGTTTCCTGTCTGCAGAGCTCCGTTCACATAGCTCCTATTCATGCCCATTGGTCCTTCCCAATTTCCATATTTGAAATATTTAAAAGGTATTTTGGGTTGGTGTTACTGTGGTAAATATATGGCCCAGACTCTGGATAGTCAGAAACTCAATATACCTTCAGCAAGTCCCGATGCACTGTCTCTGCCTGAGAAGATTAAACTTTATTGGGCAATTGTTCAGCTCCCTGCAACCTTGGAAATGTCTCCAACTCTGAGCTGGAGTGGAAAAATATGGCTTATTTGCTGGGTCAACTCTCCAGGTAAGTATTAGGCACATGAAAACCATAGCTAACTCCTATGTGGCTAAACAACTGACCCCAGAATGTCTTCCTGCTCTTATCCTAATCCCAATCTCAAACTCCCCTTTGACCCCATCAACCTTCTGACTCAGCCACTGTTCCTCCGACTTCTCCTGCTGTCCTCCAGCTTCCCACAATATGCCCAACTCCCCCTTGACCCTCCAGCTCTATGATCTGTCTGCTCCCCCACCCTTCTAACTATTTGCAAACCTACGGCAGACCGACCAACATTCAAATTGCCCCCTCACTCCCAATGAGCCCTGACTTTTTGACACCTACTGATTTGCCACAACTGTGCCAACCTACTAACTGATTCCCCCTTGCCTCCTGATCTGCCCACCCTCTGATTTTTACCCACCATCACCACCCACCCACTCGCCCTTTGATTCACCCCGCCTTACTCCTTCCCTGCCCACCTGCCCTCTGATTCCTCCGCCCACCCACCAATTTCCCCCTTCCTCCCCTCCACCCGCCTGCCCTCTGATCCTCCCCTACTCCCCCACCTTCTGCCCTGCCCACCCCCTGATTTGTACCCCGACCCCCGACTCTCTACATCCTGGTGTTCTGCTCTCTCCACTTCCTCCTGACCCGGCCTCGTCACCATACCCACCTACTATCTAACCCAGCTGTCACCCTGCCCACTTAGCTCACCATCCCTCATTCACTGCTCTGCTGAAAAGTTATTTAGAAGTGTTCCAAACCTTTTCAGTACATCAGTGAATGAAGATCTACCAAATATAGCAGCTCGCAACCTGAAAAGGGTGTGTGACTTTGTTTTATCAATGATCCTGACTTCGAGGGAGGATTCCAACATCAGGTATGTGCAACATTTCTAAAGAGACTGAATTCAGAATCTGTCCAAAAATGAGAAGCCAGGTTGTGGCAGTGCAAGCAACAAACCAGTGATTGTTAGCGCTCATGGAAAAATTTGGACTTGTCATAGGGTTAGGGTGAAGTATCATCAGTTATTGATGCGTTTGGTTTCTCTTGGTACTTATTTGATAAAGAGTATCGAGGAATTCCAACCATGCTGCATTTCGGTGGATTATACTAACCCAGAGAGTAATGATGATGTGATAATCCTATGTCTCTTTCACAGTGACCCTCAGAAGACTTTTAAATAGATAGCTCTTCACATAAATTAATAGGTTTATCGATTAAAAAAAATTTCAAGAGTACACCTTAGAATGCACATTGATGCACTGATTCAGAGCTCTGTGATACATCTGTTTTAATGCTGAATGTCCTGCATGCTTGAGTGATCCTTGGGCTTAAGGGAAACATTGCCTTTCCTGAATCAGAAGATGTAGGATTCAAACCCTGCTATAATTAATTGTAGCAAGTGGAGAGGGAATCTCCAGTCCTCAATTCTAGGAAGATGCATGTGTCTGGTGGATGTGATTGTTCCTCTCTCCTTTAGCCCATTAACCTTCCTGTCCCAACATCCTTGTTACAGGTTTAAAGTAAAAAAACATGAAGCGTTCAGGTTTAATGCCTATGAGGCTTCCAGCGCATTCTGCTGCTTGACGTTGTTCTTGGAATATATAGAATGACACATCGATATTTAGGAAGGAAACTCACTTCGGTGCAGGAAAGAAATCTGTTTCTCATTCCACATTTATACAAGAACAAGCTCGTTGATTTTTAACTAGCGTATTATTGTAAACATTAAATGTTGCCCATGCTTTATGAACTTCATTTTCCTAAAATCATTTGGGACTCCCTAGGCATTTTACCTTCTGCTCCATACTTACTTTTGAAGTTATTTGTATTTAAAACATATTTCACAGTAGTTCAATCTTGGTCATTAAAAAAAGTGCCTTTACAAAACTTATCAATTCTTTACAATGCATCAATTCTGTTCAGCCCACCTCCCTTCACCTGCTAAAACCTTGATTTGTGTTTGCAATAAAATAAGTTTGTTGATTTACTTGAGAAAATTAGGTGCCATAACAATGAACAATGTGGAAAAATGAACAGTTTCATTGGTGTATCATAGTTCCTTAGCAAATGAAATATTTTATAATATTTCAAATCTTTGAATTCTGCATATTATTGCCTTAATGCGAAGACCGTCCTGAAACAGAGAGGCAGAGATTCACCATACTCCTTATTTTGACCTGGGGTGGCTCGAGTTTTGTGGATGTGGCCAGCTTTCAGTGCAGTAGATTTGAAACCACTGTTTAATTTCATGGACATTTCAAGTAATGTTCAACACAATGTGTGTTCAAATTTGTTTTTTCCCTGTGATGGCTTGGCCACTAATGTGGACCCATGTTTTGAAATTGGTGGAGATTCTAGGCAACTGTCTTGATTTAAAATTTGCAAAGGCAAGAATTTCGTCCAAATATTTTAAATCTGAATGCCCACATTTAATATTTTCCTGAAGTAAATCAGCAGATTCCTTCACTGGTATTTTTCTGTTCTTTCAGAGCTACCCTCTGGGTGGGAGAAGATCGATGATCCTGTTTATGGTGTCTACTATGTCGAGTAAGTTTGTGAATTACCGCTGTATCTAGGAGATAACTGAGGCTGCTACCAATAATAAAGTAAAAGTTGTGACCAAGGGAAAGATATAATCTAATTTTACCCTCTTTAATGGTTCCATAAAGTTTATTCCTTCTCTTCCTTCTACATCCCTGTCCTTCATGTCCTTTACCAAACCCTGTCAAAGAAAATTCTCTTGGGAGTCTCCAAATGCTATTCTGTGTGAAGTGGTTGCATCCCATTTGCTCAACTCATTGTATGAAGTGACATCTGATAATTGTTTCTTCTCTCTCTGCAATAGTTTCAATTTCTGTCCTTCCTTACAAAGTATAGGATTTCTTTTATTTGCATGTCTGTTTTCTCAGGGGAATGAGACCTCTTGATGATAGGCGAGAATGGTTGCTCCCTGTTTAACTGATGAAAGCCACTCTGCGTCACGATAAATTGTTTCTCCTTCATTTGTCACGTTTGTTAATTTATTAAACTGTACCAACTCCTTGCTTATTTAATTAGTCAATGATCAATTTCCCAGTTAACCAATTGGCTGGTAATCATGTCACATCTTGTCTCAGAAGACATCACAGATTTATCTGGCTGGGATCTGTTGTTTTTCACATTGTGATACAATCATCAGGAAAGAAAGACTTTGTATTGAGTTTTAAACGTTTAAATTCCATGAGAATTTTGGTTGTGACACATCTGTTTATATTGTTTGTAACATTCATTGTTTTATTATATTTTGCTGGAACCGTGAACACGTTAATTTGAACGGTACGTGGTTGGCACAATTGCACCATAAATTTTGATTTATTTGAGGATTTGTGTTTTTACTGAAACAGGATTTATTAAGCAATAAATGCACAATGTTTATTTTTGCTGTCATCTTCTGAATTTGCTTTTACGAGGTTAGACACTCCTTCCTGCAATTAATTTATGTTCTAACAGAACATTTTTTCTTTCATTAGTCATATCAATAGGAAGACGCAATATGAAAATCCTGTTGCTGAAGCCAAACGCAAAAAGCAGCTTGAACAGCAGCAAGCAGAAGGTGAGTTTTGAGGTCTGCCACTCAGAAAATATAATGAGGGAAGTCAGATACTTACGGCCACCATCCGCATAAGTCATTGGCACTGAATTCATGAAGTAAATTGCCAGTACGCCATAATACAGAGCTAACCATGTCTGTGCTTCACAAATAAAACTGGCCAGGTTATGAAGTCGTGAATAAATTTCAGGCAATTGCTTCACATCGTTAAGAAAATTATTCTTTAATTGGTACTGTAATTGTTGACAGTAATCCTTGGGCTCATTGTCAAAAGGATTCATATTTGCTTAAATAATTCTGTGAATTTATTTTTTTCATACCTCTTCAGAGTGGACAGAGCAACAAGCATCTCCTGGATCCAAAGCTCCAACCTATGTGCAGAATAATCAGGAATCTTTCAGAGAAACACCAGCACAAGGTAATTTTGATTTAACAGAAGCATTGATAATTTACAAATTGGAAGCATCTGAACTCTGACATGAAAGGGAAAGTGGATAAAATGTGTGAAAATCCACAGGGATGTTGTTGACGATTTTGTTGGGGCAAGGGCATCTTGCTTATTAGCTATAAAATTGCAGGAATCATGTGCCCTGTATCATCCGTAGAGTAATAGTAAAATATTCAAATTGGCAACTGCAATACGACTGTTTAGAGACCATTTTAAGTCAATGCTACCTGACCAAACAACATTAATAATACTTGACAAAAATTTGATGTAAGTCGGATGCTGTGTGCCATCGTAGCATCCTTACCTATTGATCTTAAAATTAACTTAAATTCAAACACCAAATTGAAGTCTCTGAATACTTCACTGATTTCAAAAATATTTGATAATGAGTCTGTTTCTCTCGCTAATTCACCGCCTGAACTGAACAAGAATTATTTAATTTGCAAGTTATTTTTATGAACAGGCAAGCCCTTCTTTACAAGAAACCCTTCAGAACTGAAAGGGCAGTTCATCAATACCAAGCTGAAGAAGAGTACCCGAGGGTTTGGTTTTACAGTGGTCGGTGGTGATGAACCTGATGAATTTCTACAGATTAAAAGTTTAGTTCTCGATGGGCCTGCAGCTCTGGATGGCAAAATGGAGACAGGTACCAAAGGAGAAGAACCATTCTAAGTCATGTCGGTTAGGCAAATTTAATATGTATTTTGTACGTCTTTATGAGTACCATTTCATAACTTTTGACAATGAGTAGGCAGTTTCAAGGTGTAAAATTCTGGCCAACATAAGGCCGCCTTGAGTGGTAAGAGGACCAGGACTAGGTCTGCTACTTACTTGCCCCGTTCTTGCTTGAAGTTCCCCTGGTGATACTGCATTTTATTCTAAACTAAGACAGAATAAACAAGGAAATTTGAATATAGGTCATCTTTGAGTTTTGAGCCTGTGATCGACAATACAACGCCTCTAACTGCAGCTGTCATGAATGGCAGAGTCGCTGTTTTGCAGTGTGAGCGGCTAAGTCAAGTGTGCTGTTCTGAGGATCACGTTTTATGATGCTGCCTGATTATAATTCGATTTGAAATGATGGAGAAGTCAAATTCCTTTTTTGTTCCTTTGTATTCCGGAGTCATCCCATAAAAACCACAGGCTACTAACCTTGATTATCGTCAGCGTTCCTGCCAAGCTGTTAAATTAAACTTTAAATTATTTGCTATATTCAGTATATCTACTCTTGTACTTGACAGTATTCAATTCCTACCATTGTCAAAGTGTGCAAATTGGCACTTTGTTTGCATTGCACAACGTTATTTCTGAATTAAGAATGTAGTTGTGAAGCTAACATGCATAAATTAAACAATTAACAATGAGTTATAGTAGCTAATCTCTACGAATTTTCTCTCTTAGGTGACGTTATAGTAAGTGTAAACAGCAGTTGTGTACTGGGATACACCCATGCTCAAGTTGTAAAAATATTCCAGTCTATTCCAATTGGTTCAACCGTGGATCTTGAACTTTGCCGGGGTTATCCTCTGCCATTTGATCCAGATGATCCAAATACTAGTTTGGTGACATCAGTAGCTATTTCAGATAAAGAGCCAATTGTTGTCAATGGGCAAGAAAATTATGACTCCCTTTCAAGCCACAGTAGCCAAACAGCTCCTGCGAATGTGAATGGAGTGAAAGACCAGAGACCATATAGTCCATCATCTGGTGATGTTTCATCAAATGGATCCCATACAGGCTATACCAATGACAATGTCTCCTTGGCTTCCTCAATAGCAACTCAACCTGAACTTATAACTGTCCATATAGTCAAAGGCCCTATGGGTTTTGGTTTTACCATAGCTGACAGCCCTGGAGGTGGTGGCCAAAGAGTTAAACAAATTGTGGATGGTCCACGCTGTCGTGGTCTGAAGGAAGGGGATCTCCTGCTAGAGGTCAATAAGAGGAATGTCCAGAATCTAACCCACAATCAAGTAGTTGATACACTGTTAGAATGCCCCAAGGGAAGTGAAGTGACACTCCTGGTTCAACGAGGAGGTAAGTGTTGAATCTATTACCTAACTATTTTTGATCTGTGTTTCTGAGACCTTTCCATAAAGTTATATGTTGTGTAGCTCATTTCCCTGCATCTACAAGGATACATATGTAAATTTTGTATGAATATAAAGTTGACCCGATCAGTAATCTTTGTTACTTTGGCAGAAATTTTGTGTGGCTGTGTACTTGGAAAAATCGATCTCCAGTAACATCATGTTTTGTGTTTATATGCCACTTCAGAAAATGGCAAAGAGATCATTCACTTTACGGTTGCTGTAGGTGAAATTTCTTCATAAAATTATAGCTTTTGCTGCATGCATTTCTTGGTAGGTCTGTCATAATGATTGCAGTGAGTTTAATTTTCTGGTTAACTTTTGCCAGAGTATATATGTGAGTGAAATAATTGAATTTGCCCAGTTTGTAGACACGTTTGGGTGTTGGAGAGCAGTGGGTAGGAAATGATGGAAACTTTGTATAGACGAGGTGAGATAAATCTTTAAAGCTTGCCCATAATGAGTGTGATTCATGCATAAGGTTTAATTGGAGCAAAAACACAAACTTAATCCAATGACCAGAGATTGATTAGTAAATTGATTCTAACCGCTGCTGTAACAGAGTACTTTTTGTTCTCGGTATTGAAATAAATTGAACTATTCAAAGAAAGTCATTAATGAAGATTAATATGTGAGCTATAAGTAAGGTCTGATGATAATGAATGAATATTTCACATATTTGTATTGCATTTCCCTGTCTATTTTTGAAAATAACTGAACTAACGTTCTCTTTAAAAGCAGTGAATTATTACAGAAATGTTGCTATTGCCAGGAGTAAGAGCACGTCTAAAATGCATACTCATTCATAAACTAACAGTTCTCGCATCATGATCCTATCAGCTTTTACTCTCAGTGCAATGCTTTCTAACAGACCATTTCTTTTGCTTCCCCAATCATTTGCACAGACCTGAAAACAAAAACATGCTGGAGATCACAGAGGGTCAGGTAGCATCCATGGAGAAAAAGCAAGCTAACGTTTCGAGTCTACATGACTCTTCTTCAGCTCAAGAGTTATCTAGACTCGAAACATTAGCTTGCTCTCTCCATGGATGATGCCTGACCTCCTGTGATCTCCAGCATTTTTAGTTTTCAGTATAGATTCCAGCATCCGCAGTAATTTGCTTGTATTTGCACAGACCTATTCTGTCAAAATTCCAATTTCTTCTCAGTCAGATTGTACCAAAACGGAATTTCTCAGATATCCAGCCAACTGTCCAGCCATTTCTCCTACATGACATCTAAATTAGGTAAAAAATTATTCTGATTCAGAATGGAAGAATTATAGACAGTAAACCATTTCATTGCATCCTTTAATTTTCCAGCGATGCCCTCTGTCTGCTTGCCTGCGCTCACAGTACATTCCACCAGATCCATTAACCGACTCGACCTCAAATATAGTTTGTTCAGTTAAGAGAGAACAGCCTACAGTACTTAGAGTCCACAGCTTGGTCTATCTGTAATCTTCAATATGGAGATGAATTTTGTGGAAACGATGCCAAACTTTTTTTTCACCCCCCCTTGATTTGGATATATTTAATTTCTACTTATGATTGCAGCCATTAAAATAAACGCTTAACCAGTTTTCTATCAGTAACAAATTGCTCCGTCGAAGAGGTCAGGTTTTGTGATGAAAGCAAATCTAATGCCATAATTTCCTTTAGATTTAGCAAATAGCCATTGTCATGGTGGGTCTAAGTAGTTGAAAGCGTTTTTGCTTTTGTTGGAGGATAGAATAATGATTCTGTTCAAAGAATTACGGTTATGAATGGTAAAGATCTTTGTGTGATGTTTTGGTTGAGGTTATAAGCAATGCAAAACTAGTTAGGCTCCCATATAACTGCAAAAATGAGGTAATGGATATTATGTGCAACCAAAAGTTCATTCTCCAGAAATTTTACTGTTTCTTTTGAGCTATGCTATTGCATGAAAACTGAACTCTCATTCTGAAAACATTCCTTTTCTTGTATCACTCTTCTTTTTTTTCCCTCTTCTTTTTTTCCGGTACATAAATCTGGCTGTACCTTTCCTTTTCAAATCCAGATTTCAAATGTTCTTTGAATCAAATCACCAAGGATTTGCTAGTTCAGGAATCTGTGACATTAGGTCACCTTCTGCTTTTGTCTAGATAATGATTGCTGAGCCATAAGTGGACAGACTCAGTTTAATGGCTCATCCAAAAGGCAGCCACAGTGACAGTACAGTATTTTCTCACAAGTGTCAGCCTGGATTGCATTTGCCTCTGAAGTGGGTTTGAACCCACAACCTTCTGACTTAGAGCCAAGAATGCTACCACAGAACCGTAGGTGATGCAAGTTATTAAATCAGTTAAGTTTTAAACTGTTCAATTATAATCTAAAGGTTTTCTTTTATACTTCCAAATAAATCTTGTAGACAGCCTCCCACCTAATCTAAAGAAGGGTCACTGGACCTGCAGCATGAACTCTCCTTTGTCCCCACAGATGCTGCCAGAGCTGCTGAGATTTTCCAGCAATTTCTGCTTTTGTTCCTGATTTCCAGCATCAGCAGTTCTTCAGGGGGTTTCTATTTCTCCCACTTAATCTGCCCCTTTCCTAAAGGGCTCCATATCCCACAACAGAGCGTCCATTCAGGCCTCAGTCTTATCCAAGCATACAGCATCCAGCTATTCTCTCCTGAATTTCACATTTCTGCCATCAAAGCAAAACAGCTCTCACTATTGCATGGTTCCTTTTGAACGTCTAGTTTGTGCTGTTACTTCTTCAAGCTTCGCTATCTGGGCCTAATTAAGACCCTCTCCCACCTTCTAAACCTGCCTGTTCTTGAACCTGATTCACACAGTGCACTTTGTATTAATCAAACTTTTTTTTACATTTTCTATGATATTGCAAATTAAACAAAACTCTTTCTAAACATTCTATGCAATCCTGCAGGCTGCATTTAAGGAAGAAAAAGAAAATAAGTGGATAACATTGTCCAATAATGATATTGTGAATGAAATTTTTTCTATTCAAATTCTAAAAGTGTTGTTTGCACTGTATGTCAAAGCAACTTGCCTCAAACAAAATACATTTGGTGATGATAGCTAACACTTTCTTTCATAACTTAGGTTAGTATCCCTGGGATGCTCCATATTTTAAGTGGTTCCCTAAAAATGTGATCATACTCTGCCGGAAGTCTCCTTTATAGACTAATTTGAAAACCAGTGCTCTAGAGTGTGATCAATGCTCGTTTGCCATACAGTGCAGATTGAAAAACTGTGCTTTTTTCATTTTCTTCCTCATTAACATATTTGTATGTGCAGTCCACAGGATGCTATATAGGTTTTATCAAATACTTCATGCTATTTTGTATTAGCAAACTAACTCAAATGTTCAAATACTTTTTCGCATTTGACACATTATTAATTATCAGTAATTCACTTCATATTGATGCCTAGCAAAAATGGTACATTCACCTTCATTACAAAAGGATTGGGAATATAAGATTACAGAAACCTAACACGACTGAGAGAGTCTTGGTGAGACCACACCTGGAGTACTATGTACAGTTGTGATCTCGCTACTCAAGGGAAGATTTACTTGGTTTGTGCTTTCTGATGGAGATGTTACTTTGCAGAGTCAGGAGGTGAAATACTTGCTACAGAATTCGTAACCTGTTCTTGTAGTTGCAGAATTGATATCACTGCTCCAGTTCAGTTATGGTCAAACATTCTGCAATCATCAGCAAACATCTCCATTTCTGACTGTATGATGGATTGAAGATCATTGATGAAGCAGCTGAAGATATTGGTATCTACAACACTACTAGGACCTGCAGCAAAGTCCTGGGATTGAGATGATTGATCTCAACAATCATACTTTGTGCTAGATAAGACCCTAACTAGTGGAGAGTCTGCCCCAATCCCCATTAACTCCAGTTTTGCACAATGGAAATATCACCCTAAATGATGAAGGGTGTCCTCAATGTATGGGTAGTTCTTTGTCTTGACAAGAATTATGCAGTGATCTTTCCTGCCAGCACTATCATGGGCAGCAGGACCTGTGGCAGTTAGTTTGGTGAAGATCAATTCAAGTAGGATTTTCCCACAACACCTGCCTCAGGCCTGGTATATCATCTGTGTTCTTTAGGACTTGGTCAGCAGTGATGCTCCTGAATCATTCTCTTGGAGATGGACATTGAAATCCCTCGTCAAGGGTACATTTTGCACCCTTGCCACCACCACTACATTGTCCGATAGGTAATCGGCATGGAGGGGTACTGATTCATCAGCCAAAGAGATGGGGGTTTTGTCGGCCTGCCTACAACCATGATGGTGACCAGCTGGAGGTTTCCTTGCTCATGTTTGACTTATGGCCATGGGATCCATAGCGAATGTTGAAGAAGCCCTGGCCAGTGTCATCCCAGCTGTCCATGCCTCTGTTTTTAATGTATCTTTTAAGTGAACATCCTAACAAATTCAACACCCACATCTAGATAACACTAGAAAAGTGATGAATGAGAAAATCAAGCTATTTGAAGCCTCCTTGGTCATTTCTCCTCAAGATTGTGACATCCTATATTCTTTGGCCTAAGTGCTTGTGACTCTTTTTTGCTTAAGTGGATAGTTCCGTATCCTCCAGTCTGAGTAGTTGCTGTATTTTCTGTTCCGTTTTTTAAAGTTTTCTTGTATGTGATATATCTCCCAATTGCACGTGAGTGAGTGTAAATGAGAATATTTACAAGGCAGGAGAACTTCAGAGAGGAAAGGAATATACTTTAATACTAAAATTTCACACACATGCACATAATAATACCCTTTATTTTTTCCTGTCCGTCTTCTCTTTAATTGATTAGTGTAGCTATTACTAAACTTTTGAGAGAGTTTGTGGCGTTGTATACACAATACTGCAAGTCGCCACTCGTAACTGAAACTGCAGCAATTATTATAGGAGGAGGCAACGCCTCAGTGGTATTATCGCTGCACTATTAATCCAGACATAGCTAATATACTGGGGAAGCGGGTTAATTTGAATGCAGTAAAAAAAATGGAACTAAGAGTTTAATGATGACCACAAGTGCCTCTGGTTCACTCATGTCCTTCAGGGAACGAAACTGCTATCTTTATCTGGTCTGGCCTGCATGTGACCTCAGACTCACAGAAATCTCATTAACTCTCTACTCTTATGGGGGAGGGAATGGCTTTGTGGTATTATCGCTGGACTGTTAATCCAGAGACCCAGATAACATTTTGGGGACCCAGGTTCGAATCCCGCCACGGTAGTTGGTGGAAGTTGAATTCAGTAAATATCTGGAATTAGGAATCTAATGATGACCGTGAATCCATTGTCAATTGTCGGAAAATCCCAGCTGGTTCACTCATGTCTTTTAGGGAAGGAAACTGCCATCCTTACCTGGTCTGGCCTACGTGTGACTCCAAACCAAAAGCAATGTGGTTGACTCTTAACTGCCCTCTGGGCAATTAGGGATGGGCCATAAGTGCTGCCTAGCCAGCGACGCCCTCAACCCGTGAATGAGTAAAGAAACAAAAAGCTTTCTGGGAATAAATGCTGGCCTAGTGACGTCGTGAAGGAATAAAAGAAAATGATGTCAAAAGAGCATCAAGTAGATTTCTTTGGGAAATTTTCAGTTTGCACCGTTGTACTCTTGAATGCAATCTGACTGTTGCTTGCCGCTCATCCATCCCTTTCTCCTTATTCACGTGTATCAAATTTGTCAGGTGGAGAATTATGGTCAGCTCTTCTGCATAACAAACTTGGAACAAATCCTTAAGTAATATCTATACAATGAAGCTGATAATAGTAAAAGCTCTTGGATATCCAACGATGAATCCAAGGTGGGTGCATTACCTGCAGCAGCTACCAACTTCCCGATAGCAATGTCTTTTAATAGAAGTGCTGCCGTCTGTTTGGCCAGAAGCTCTTGGTAGGCAGGACATCTTTTTCAGGGTTCTTGATTCTGGGAAAGGCCATCCACTGTACAGTTAGATGCCTATGTACTTCATTCAGCAGGCCTTCACAGAAGAGGAAACGCAGGGCCCTTGCTGATTGTCCAGCTAGTGGTCAAGGCAAAGTCACCTCCATTAAATCTTATTTATTCTTTCAGGATGTGGGTGCTGCCAATAAGACCAGCATTTGTTGACCATCCCTAATTGTCCTTAAACTGACTTGAGTTGCTAGGCCATTTCAAAGGTCACTTGACAGTCAACCCCATTCCTACGGGGCTGGAGTCACATGGACCAGAATGAGTAATTTCTCATGTAGAAGGTTCAATAACTAAAGGATACATTTTCGAAATAATTGGCCAGGAATCGGGATGGAAGTGAAGAGATTTTTTGTAACATGGCAAGTTGATATGATCTGGAAAGAGTGGTATAAGATTCAACAGTAATGTACAAGGCACTGCGTGCTTGAAGAAGAAAACTTTACAGTGCCAAGGGGAAAGAGCAGGGAGTCGAACTGTTAGGATAACTCTTTTAAAATACTGCACAGTGTGCAAAATGGCCTTTTATTGTGCAGTATGATTCTATGATCTTCATTATTTTTTATATTATTAACAAATTGGTCAATGATCTTATTGTACAATAAATTATCTGAAGCCAATGAACTATAGAAGTAGTTAATTGTAAATGAAGAGCTTTGAGATGTCTCATGAGGTGTTTATCAGTACAAATCTTTTCCTTCTCTCATTGCTGATGTTACAGTAATTAGACAACACTTAGTCTTCCAGTTGATTCAAGGTTCTATTTTTGCCATTCTACCAGTGCATTCAGGTCTCACAAGCAACAAGGGTCATTGAGCTACTTAATCTGCAGTTAAATATATTATATGGTGTGGCACTTCAGTACCAGGGAATCCTTAATCTACACTGAATTCTTTAATTAGCCATGGTAGCTCAAGGTTATGGTGAGGAACTGTGAGCTGGCTGTGTGCATATGTGGGACAATGGAACTGAGATCAAATGTGATGGATCTCACTGTTCCTAAATTCAAATCTCAAAGAATGAACTCTTAAGTGAAGTACCATGAAGCTTCAATGGAATGATATCTCAGCAGGATTTGCAGCTTCTACAGAGGAGGGGTAAGGTGAAGCATCTGAGAAAAGTGGAAAGAAGCAGGTTTTGATAGCCAAAGCTCAAACGCAGACTAGAAGTGTTGAGAATAAAGCCATTTGGCCAGGAACACCGTAAGTGGTTAATATAGCATTTTTGATGCCAACGCTGACAGATGGGGCAGTCTGCTGGAGACCACAGTTCTCATGCTGCTATCACATTGAGCCTTTATCTGTCTTGACATTTGTCTAGTGGATTTCATAAATGTGATAATTTTGCCTTAAATGGTCTAATATTCTATCTGCTGCGTTTGACACTTTTTAGTTTAACCTGAGCTCTGCTGCACACTAGTAGTGACTAATCAGCTTGTAATGGTGTGAGAAAGATCAGACACAGTGAACTATTTATAAAATGATGCATCTCCGCAGTGCAGAATAGTGCATCAATATTTAAGTAACTGATGTTGAATTGTACCAAATTACAATTTCAGTGATGTCCAATGTGATATGTACCTATGGTAAAATTGTTAGGGGCAGATAGAGTCAAAGAATATCTATCTTTTAAATCTGTATTTATCTTTATTGAGGGCAGAGAGCTTAGCCTCTCTGCAAAGAAAACTCGAAACCATCCCAGAGTCCAATGTTCCACAGCCCTTCTAAGTTGACACAATATTCAGGGTGCTTCATTTTGCCTCTGTGTCCTTGGACAAAGAGGGAAAAAGTTCACCTGTGATTTTCACTCGTGATTGGCATGCATGGCCCTAGCTGAAAACTTGTAGGAGTGAATGCATGTGACCAGACTGGGTTAGCTCTCTGCCCTGAAAGGAGAACCTCTAAAAAGGCAGCGTGCTGGAGGGCTGACACCAGTATTCGTGTAAGAGGAGAGACAAGGCAGCAATTTGTGGGGCCATATTTTTGGAATAAGAAATATTCTTCAGATTTTTACAGTTTTTTTTCCAAATAGAATTTTCTGGAAGATGAAGATAAAATGGATATTGTTAAAGAATAGGGAGAGACCAACAGGTAATTCAGCTTAGAACATGATTACTCAAGCAGACACCCAGTCCAGATTTTGAGAGAGGCCTAGAATCATGATCTCCTAATGTTGCCAATAATATGAAGTATATACAGTGGTGGAGGGGGAAAGAGATAAAAACTACAGGTTCTGTCAAAATTCTGCCTCACTAATCTCAATTTATTACATGAGATAAAATACATTCATCGCAGTCAGGATAGGAATGATTTATAGACTTTACATGGATTGTCAAATACCTACAACTAAATAACATTTTTAAATCAGGCTTCCAGCTGTTTCAATCATCCTTTTTAATAGCATAGATAAATTATATTTAGTGCATGTGTCTGATTGATGCTGTGAATTACATACCGGTACAATTCAACAGGGTAATGACTCAATTTCTGTAAGTTCCAAGCTCTGGCATCAAGTGAAATCCTGTAAAGCTCTGTATCTGGAAGCTTCTATGTTTTTTGGCAATACCCAAAATGAGTTAGAGTTAGCTTTCAGTAGGTTGTTTACAGACATGAGAAAGGAGGATGCATGCCTTTAATAATCATAACATTTTAAAAAGAAAGCTGGACTCTGAATGCTGAATTCTAACATTAATATCATTTGAGTTTGATCATCTTTCATACACTTGGCTAGGTGTACATAATGCTAGCCTAGTTGCTGCATGGAGATTCCATGTCAAAGGTATAGCAGCACCTCTTGTTGGTTGATACTGTTGGCAGCAACCATGGAGAAGCATTATTGCTGGGATGGATGTATGATTGCTCATTTTGCAGGCAACGTAAGGAAGTAGGAATAAGTTCATAATGAACGGTATAAATGCTTTTCTTTGTTTACATTGCAACATAATGTTCACATTCATATATTTATATGACATAGCTACCAGAAGAGATTAGAGTAATGCAGAACTTTATTGAAGCAGCTCTGTCACATCTGCACTGTCATTCTGCATACATTTGTGAGGTGTGGTAATAGTTGGGTATCTATAAACCCATGAATGTTGCTCTGCTTGCACAAGTTTATGAATGAAAAATGGCTGGAAGTTATGTAAGTAGGGAAGCAATGAAGTATAAGAAAAATTGAATTCCTGCAGTTTGAATGGGAACGTTAAGATTCCTTTTATTTTGCTGTTACCAGTTTCCCATAGCTGGAGCTGTGGAAACTGTTTTGCTTCTGCTTGCAGGATTTGATTTCTTCGGCCATGCAGATTTGTTGAGACTGCTAGCCTCAAGGCTGCTGATTCACAAGTCAGCATTACCTAGGATTCATTGTGCTATAATCTATCTCATCAGACTATGAACACAATGGCTGACACAGAACTTATCACGGTCCAAGAGCTATATGCTCACAACACGTTTAGAGGATTTCCTATGATTTTTTTTAAGAAGTTGTGTTATTGCAATGCTTCTAAACGTGTGTTCTTGTTTTGCTATCTTACAGGGCCGCCTCCGAAGAAAAGCCCCAAGTCGGTAAGTTCACTATGAAATATGTGGATCTGTGTAATTGTTGCTCTTCCGATTTTATGATTGTTTTTCACACGTAACTGAGCTGTATGAATATGTGTTATCTATGAATGTGCCATCTTTGTTTGGCTGAAATGGCTGATCAAACTGATATTTAGGATAGAATGCAGAAGCTGAGACTGATGGGCAATAAATCGTGTTTTTCTGCCTTATCCCTAGATTGCGTTTTTTTTCCCCCCTTAACCAAGAAGGAGTTCCCAAAATAGATAATTAATGCACTTTTAATGGTTGCAAGGCAACGCTGATTAAATTCACATTTAAGTATCTTCAGGCCCGCTCCATTGTCAAAATATATTAGACCTGTGGAGGGAAAATGTGGTTGCATTTCCTATCAAATCATAGAAATGTCAGCCTTCATGTGCCTGTTTGTCAGTTTCAAATAAATTTACCCTTTGGCAGAATATATCTGTGTGCAAGCAATATGTTCACTTAGTGTATTTTGTAGTTTTTATTTCATGGTTATCTTCTTCTCCTGTTAAAAGAAAGCAATTTCCTATTATTTATTTTTTGAGCCTGATATAAAATGCATAACTTGCTTTACAAGGGTTGGAAATATTGTGTTCCAATACTAAAAATTCTCGTTTGCTTTCAATGCGTTATACAGTTTTAATGATGGGCTGCTGTAAAGTACCCAGCTGCAAGTAAACAACCGAACTTTGAGAAGAGACTTTTTCCAAAATGGGAGCATTGTATTGATCGCTAGCACTCACTGAAAAGCTGGAATGACCTTCTGTTCTCTTGAATAATTGCAGCAAGCACTGGAAAGGAAGGACAGTCAGAACAGCTCCCAGCACAGTGTCTCTAGCCAGCGGAGCGCAAACACTGCTTCACCAGTCCTGGGTGCCCCTGGGCTTCCAGACTACCCTTCAAACGAGGCACCAGCACTGGATCAAGCAGATAGTTCTGTGCAAAGGAAACCGGATCCTTTTAAAATTTGGGCTCAGTCAAGAAGCATGTATGAAAGTAGACGTAAGTACAATGAGAAATTTAAAGCCTGCATCCTTTTGTCAGAAATGCAATGTTAATTCGTACACAATTTAAAGGCTGCCATTGCGTCATTCTGATTTATGTACTTTGCAATTCAGTATTAGTTTTTATTTAACTCACGGAATTCAATGGCACAACCAAATGTTAAAATGACGAAGTTATCTCAAGCTATCACTAAACCAGAAAATTGCGGCACCTCAGTAATGAACTATTTAGTATTTTCACAATGACCTTTAACTCAAACATATAATTGTTTTACTGAGTTAAATAGATTTGGACTCCACTGAATGCACTGCACTGTTACTGACAATCAGTATGTAATGTTCCTGTGTCATTGTCTTTTAATCATGTCAATCAAAATGATTGCAAGTAACGCTTAAGTGTCATCCTGCCAAATTACATTGCAAAAAAAATTAAGAGCTGTTGGGTAAAGCAATTTATAAGGAGCTAGAACCGTTCAGTAGCAGCAAGAATAGTTCCCGTCTTTAGTCTCACATCTCAATTTAAAAAAACAATCCTTTTTTCACTTCAGTATTTGATTAATAGCCTAGGCAAAAGTTTAGAAATAGATGTAGACTAGAAATAGTTGTGTGGAGTATAGTAACATATTGTAGACAGAATATCATAACAGGCTGCTTCAATGTAGTGTTGTATATGGTTTTCATTTGGGGCTACAAATCATATTGTGAACAGATGCCCTGTGTAATGTGTTGAAACTGCAGTTTGGCTAAATACTTCCTTTTTTTATTGCACTTAGTCATTGAAGCCATTTAGTTATATTCTTACCAAAAAAAAATTTAGGTATATATCATAAATAATAAGCAGACAATTGGATAGAACTTGACAGTGGAACATGGGCCTTTTCTCCTTGCTGGTTCATAGCAATGTTTTAATGCTCCACTTGCAACCTATATGATCTAACCCAACCAACATAATCTTCTAAAATGCAAGAGTTTTCCAGATGTTATCACTCACATATCGTTCGACCATGCCTCTTTTTTTTGCACAAATGATTAATTCATGATCCATTCCTACACACCTTCCATTTATAAATTTTCAACAAAAATCCATTTATTCAGTTTCTTACACCTTGTGCTAAATGCAACCAAATAAGCCGGAGAACGGCTGGTGGCATGTTAGTATTCTTCTACCTCAAATGCATCTAAGCAAGAGCAAGTTGAAGAAGATTTTCCTGTCATGAATGACACTTCATGATGCAGTGTGCTAGTGTTCTAACACTGCCAAAACACCAGGAGACATTTTATTGATATTGTGATCAGCGTTTTAACTTTTTCACTGTAATCTACTCATGTCATAATATAATAAATCCGGTATATTAGGAACACACTCCAGGAATTGAGAAGGAATGTTTGATGTACTTGGGGAAAAGACCTTCATGTGACAGTAGTGGATTAAACTCTAAGGTTAACTTAACTCAAGTAGGAATCTCAGTAGGATTATGTGATTCAAGGAGTCCGGCCAATATTTGCAATGTTGTGGATCATAATATATTTCTTTTGGTTATTGACGTTTTGTCTTCTCCGAATGCAAAGAAGAACTTTTATACATTTGTCATAATTGTTCAAGGTTCAGATGAAGCAACTGGGAATATGTTGAAAGCTGCTGAGAGAACAGGAGCACATTGGAGCTCCTAGCAGTGTCATTGCTACAGACAAACTAAAGCCAGTTGTATGTCAAATAATATGAATAGTAACAGAATCCCATGTGGTGGCTGTGCACTTGCATTAAAAAAAAATACTTTAAACAAACTAAGTTTTCATCATCGTAGAATTGCTAATTATATGCGCAGTACATGACATTTAACTGCTGTTCAGAAAAAGTAACAATGATAATTGCAGTAGTGATCTTATAAATGCATTTTGTTGTGTTATTAGTTGCTTCAGTTAACATTATCATCAGCCAACAATTTTTTTTGATGGATTTGATTGTTAAATGTGATTTGTAATTCTGCTACACTGATTATTTCCTGCAGTAAAGCTACTGATAAATCACATGAATGTGAATGAACTTTTTAATGGCCAGTGGCACCGGATAGAAATAATCGTTTACATGCATGGTAGGGTTGAGGAGAAACACAGCTAGGTGAACCAATAAATAAACCAAAGGCTCACAATGGGTGGCAAATTTCCAATGCTCAATAATTGTGTTTCTTCGTAACCAAACTGTGGAATTTCACCCATCCACACTGGGAATTTTAAGCATGAGATGTGATTCATTCCCTTACTGTTTGTATTTCTGAAAAAAATCCCTTATTCTTGATGTATTTGATTTTCTTCATGTTAAATCGTACTCTTATTTTACTTTTCCTCGCTCCTAATTTATGTTTAATTCTTATGTTTGTTTTTATTCCAACATTTAGTCCATTTTATGTCATAACATAGGGAAATTGTGTACTTGTGGACTACAATTATTATCTCAATATTTTCCTTCCTTGAAGGTTTACATGTTTTCCCTTCAGTTTGTCTTTAGAGATGGGAGAGGTTGATAAGGGTGAAGGGACAAAACATAACAAATTGAGAAAACTGAGGGGTAGAAAAACATCCAATATAAGAAAGATAGTGAATCATACAGGGTTTAGGAAGAGGTGCTGGAAACCTCCTAACAGAGGAATAGGAGTAGGCCATTCAGCCCATCGGACCTGCTGCACCATTATATTGATCATGGCTGATCAAACACTTCAATGCCTTTTCCCCACACTACCCCACAACCCTTCTCAACATTGCTGCCAGTTAGCAGCTTAACTGTAGGAAACACCACAGCTAAACGTGATAGTGCCCTTTTCCGCTGTTAACACTGTCAGAGCAGGCCATTTGGCCCATCTCGTTCACACTGACCCTCTGAAGAGCATCTCACCCAATTCCACCCCGGTACTCTATCCCTGTAACTCTGCATTTCCCATGGCTAATCCACTTAACCTGCACATCATCGGACCGTAGGAGGAAACTGGACCACCCGGAGATAACCCACGCTGACACAGGGACAATGTTCAAACTCCACACAGACAGTAGCCCCAGAGTGGAATCGAACCTGGGTCCCTGGTGCTGAGAGGCAGCAGAGTGCCGCCCATGTTTTAATCATGAATGCAAATCTTCTAGCAGTGTTTAGTGATTAGTAGTCAGGAGTAGGGCTAATAACTGAATTTTATTTGCCTTCCCTCACCTTCAAGGCACTGAGGTCCAATGCAGTCTTCCTAGATTTAGCACAGGCTAAAGTTTGAACCTGGAGCCATTTTGATTTAAGTGGCTCAGCAATAGGGTAATCCATTAACTTACTGATGCCATCAAATTAACTTCCTTTAGATAAATTTCAATTATTTAATATATTTTTTGTCTCAAACTAATTTAACTTAACCACTTGCGTCTCTTTTTTTTTGATTTTGCATTCACCCTGTCAGCAACTTAATTGGGAGCTGAAGTGTCAGAGTTTTGAGTAACGTAGGGGGTTAAGTGCGTATAAAATGATTGCTGATGTAGTAATTGCTCAGTAGATATTTGGTGGAGCAAGGTGACAGATAAATGATTTAAGTACTGCTGATATTCAACAGTAAGCATGAGGGAATATTATTATTACTATCTTCAATAAAAGAACTGTCCTAGCAATGCAGACATTCATGTTTATGACCAGTTGGGCCACTGATTTCACTCAACTTTTAACCAGTTAAAAATCTAATTGAATGCACAGTGTAGAAGTATGTGCAGCTGACATTTTGATTTCTCTAATGGTATAACCAGATTCGCCATGAGTTGTAGAATGCTCCAAATAGCTGCTACTTAATCACGTTATAATCTTACTTGCTCTGCCTGGTATAATTCTAACAGAGGACATCTGCTATCCACCACTGAGAAAGAAGGTGAGGTCCGGTCAAAGTGTCAGAGATTTATTGTCAGCAATGCCCTTATTGAGTTTCTACCCTGCAGCCAACTTGGAGACATTGCCATGATTCACAGCCTAGCTGTTGCAGTAAATTGCAACACTAAAACCACAGTCTGTGATTTAGACCTAAAATCAATTGGGGATGGTGACACTGATTCTAACAGTGGAAGCCTTTAATTTGATAGTGCCATTTGCTGAACCATTCTAAAGCTCTTAAAACTGTCGGTACAGCAAACAAAATACTGTCTCTGTCCAGTTGTAATGAAAGCCAATTGACCTTCATTATGTTCTTCACATATGTATGGTGTAATGACATCTCTATGCTTTTCCACAGTTCCTGATTATCAAGAACAAGACATTTTCCTCTGGAGAAAAGAAACTGGATTTGGTTTTAGGATACTTGGTGGAAATGAGCCAGGAGAGCCAGTGAGTAATTAAAGTTGACTTGCTATTGCTTTTATTTGTAACGCTACATTTGGGAAATTAAGGTTTACCCTGTGTCTATATTGAATATGATGTGAAACAAAGGCAGACTTCCCATTGTAAAATGACAAGTGATATACCAGTTATTTGTGTATTATATTTTGACACAGCTTTGGTAAATTCAATATTGTCTGTGACATGTGCTGAGCTTATGGAGCTAATTGGTGTTGAATTCATTTTTATCACACAATAAACTGAATTCATTTTCCAGTCTTAGTGGCCAGTCCTACAGAGGAAAGGAATACCTCCAAAGTAATAAGTCACCTTCCTTCCCTTTAGATAGTAACAAAACTTATTCTCTTGCTTTTAATGAAATTTAGTACCTTTCTGAATGCCAAGTACTTTTCTGACAGTAATGGTTTAGCATATTTGGCTGCCCAAATAGCAATTAGGAGCATTTCCACTAAGTTACATAAGTTGTGCTTATTCTTTTTTATCTTAGAAATCCACATGTGAGCCCAGCTATACAAAAGTCTAAATTATTTCTGATTCATCTGTAACGATGCATATCAACAGGAACATCTACTGCTTTAGGTTCAGTAGGCTTTATTAATAATATATTGTCGTTTTCATTATCAAGTTTGGTTGCAGGTTGAGGAGAGCAAAACTATCAAAATAAATGGAGGCTAAACTTAACTTGCTTTAAAACTCTGCACATTTCAGGATATTTTTCATTAAATTCAATTCTTGAAATCTCCTCTTTTCACGAAGTTTGGGACCCGTCGCTTTGCCACATTTAACTGTAGCCAGCCAGAGTTTCCATACCCTCAGGGAGTGGAACAGCCGCCCTCACAGCACTCCTTTTAGGCAGGAGGAGCAGAATGCCCTCCTCCCAACTCCTCAGACTCCGTCAGCAGTAAAACCCCTTCCTGAAGCAAGCGATGATTGCTACTGCCCTCCACCTCCACCCTGGTAGCATGGGGTTTGTTTCCCCAGCTCAGTGATTGAAATGTCATCAGGTGAGGAAACCTACTTATGACTTTGGATACACAGTTTCATTGTAAGATAGCACAGCATGCCACCAGCCAACCACTGCAGCCATTCATCCCTACTCCCAGCACATCAGCTTAAAAAAAATTACCCCAGCACATCAGCAAAAAAAAATTAGCCCAGCACAGTTTTCAACATCAGCTAAGTTAACATTTAGAACTTTAAAGATTTAAAGTTCTCTAAGTTTAAAACTGTACTGAATTTGTAGCTGTGGCAGTTTTGAAGATTATCAGTATTTTAAGTTGAACAAAGATTTCCTGCTGTGTAGTCTTTTAAGTGTCAAATTCTGAATTTGCATCTGTTGTTTCATTAAAAATTCATTGTTGAGGGTATAAGGAACTCATTTTCACTCTTCAGTGCATAAACATGCAGACTGTGATTACACACTGTCTTCTCACTGAAGTTTGTATAATCACTGCAGTTACCACAAAATGGTAAATGTTTTGAATGATCATTTCAATAAATTTGGCTTTGTAAGCTATTGAAGTAACTAGTTGAATTCCTGAAATATTTTGAATATTTTCCAATTTTCAGTTTCCCACAAAATATTCAGTCCTTGTGCTTTTCTGTTCTCATTGGAGCATTAGTTTTGGGTACAAAAATACTACACTTCTTCCAGAAAATAATTAAACATTTCTTACAGGCCTCACATTTTTTTGTATTTTGTCTTGGACACTGCAGTAAAAGCGTGGAGTCAATGGCAATGTTTTTATTTTGTTAAACAGTGAAAGAAATGTAGTATTTTCATCTGTTTAAGATGTTTGACTTGTAGAGGTATGTATTCTGTGTGTTCTGTTTAATTCTACTCGTAATATCTCCATTTTAAAATGACTGCAATCTGTTAATGCGCTTTTGTTAGAACTACATTGGGCTTTTGTTTTCCTTTTCCTCTTGCATTTACTTGTGAAACATGGGAATTAATTTTGCCGAATCTACTCAATTAACATGACTGGTGCTAAGTATTGTGACTGAACTTGATGTATGCTTAGTTCAAAAATACTGATGCTCTGTGTCATCAACCTTTCTGGTTCCTTTTGGTCCAGATCTACATAGGCCATATTGTGCCACTGGGTGCTGCAGATGCAGATGGACGGCTGCGCTCTGGTGATGAGCTAATATGTGTGGATGGCACAGCTGTGGTTGGAAAGTCCCACCAACTTGTTGTTCAGTTAATGCAGCAAGCAGCCAAACAGGGCCATGTTAATCTGACTGTGAGACGTAAAGTGGTTTATCCAGGTAAGTAGCTGTCAGCGTGTGATTGGAAACAAACCACATCGCCTTGTTCTTGCAAGAAAGGTCATGTTCCTGGAACACAAAGGTGTTTGCACAGACTTTTGTACATTACATAACTTAGCAAAAACAAAATAATTTTGTCCTATTTTTGAATTAAGTCTGCAAAACAGTTTACTAAATTACAGTTTTACTCTTAGTTCATTCTCATCATGTTACTCCAACTACCTTATTTCGTTTACATTCCACGTTTCAGAATCTTTGCTGCACACGCTGATGCAGTCTATTAATAACAGTGGAACCATTGGCTCTCAAAAGTTGACAGTCTTTCTTCCTAATTGTAGTTTTTCCATGATCTACGCAGTTGTTAGAACCTTTTTTCTCCCTAAGTGCATATCCACCAGATGAGACAAATGCTTTTATCATCTGTGCTGTACAGCTTGGGGACAGCGACAAACAACCTGCATCATCTTGGAATGAATCCTGGGCCAGAATTGAGATTTCTGGATGATTCACTCAGCAATGACTCATCCAGCTGCATTCATTCAAAAATGGCCTAAGAATCAACTTGCATTAGTGATAGTGATAAACCTGGGGAACAGCTCATGCCAAGGACTGTTCTGTAAGTTCTTGGAAAACCTGGGAGGTAGGAAATACTGTGTTCCCAACTTACACTTTTAGACCCTACCCTTCACACGCTGACTATGTTGGAGGTTAGGAATTCCACTGGTTTGTGTCAAAGTCTTGACAAGGCTATCATGCCCTTGAAAACAACATTTTTTTGAAATCATGGGATGTATCATTTTCCATTGTACATGAAGCTTTTTAATCTCATGGGTTTCCTGGCATGTGTTTGAACATAGTGAGCTGCCTTGTATCTCAGGAGAGGGTGCCTTTGTGATGTGCTCAAATTTGCCACTTTTCAAATTACACACAAAACTGCCCTGAGTAGTGCACATGTGAGATAGGGCTTGAGAATGGTTTGAGACTCTTTCGGGATGGAAGCACACTCTCCTCTGCTCTAAGGAGCTTGGCATTTTGGAATGTGACCAACTGTTAGACAGCATGCTAAATTTGGACGGAGCAAGGTTTGTTTGGTTGAGTTTGAGGGTCCTGCTTTTCTACCTGATGTTCACATCTGCCAGGCATTCTCTGCAGGTTTACAACCTTAGCATTCCAACTGACCATGAGATTTCAATCCCTTATTCTCTGCCTCACCAAAACAATCTTCCACCTGTCTAGCACTGTCTTACTCTGCACTCAGTCTAATCTTTGCTGAAAACTACATCTGTGTTAGTGTTTGTTTTGTCAGGCTAGACTGTACCAGTTGCTTCTGGCTGGCCATCCATCTTTCACACTCTGTAAACCTCAGCTCATCCAGCATTTTGCATCGTGTATCCTGTTCATTCCTACATCTTTTCTCTGCTATAATAGCTCCAAGTCCAGCAAAGCCTCAAAGTTAAAATTGTCATCCTTTTCTCCCTTCATGGTCTCATCTCTCCCTCCCTCTCTGTAATTTCCTTCAAGCCCACAATCCTCTGAAATCTCTGTCTCCTGTCTCCTTCTTCTAATTCAGACCTTTTATGCATTCCAAATGATTTTGCTTCTACATTGGTATCCATGACTTCAGGGGTTGTCATTTTTATCTCCCAGCAGGAGTGGAAAGGGAGAGGCTGGGTATAGGCACATTTTGTAAATGGCATTCCAAAATAGCATGATTGTCTACTGATGCCTCTGTGACCAGCTGGAACTGTTAAGTGTGGGGATGAGTGTGGGGATAGCACTGCCCATAAATCTCCAATGAACCTGCTGAATAGAGGTATAAATTGTTTTCTAAATGGAGAAAGGCTTTAGAAATCTGAAGCACAGAGGAACTTGGGAGTCCTAGTTCTGGATTCTGTTAAGATTAACATCATTTAGCTGTTAGAAAGGCAAAGTTTAGCATTCATTTTGAGAGAGGTTACAGTACAAGAGCAGTGATATACTGCTGAGGCTGTATAAGATTCAGGTCAGACTCCCTTTAGAATATTGTTACCAGTTTTGGGGTCTGTTTCTAAGGCAGGGTGTGCAGAGGAGATTTGCAAGAACGATCCCAGGGATGAAGGGCTTGTCATATGAGAAATGGTTGAGGACTCTGAACTCGAAGTAGTTGAGAAGAATGAGGGATGAAACTTTTTAAGAGTACTGAGATGCCTGAATAGAGTGAATGTGGAGAAAATGCTTCCACCAGTGGGAGAGACTAAGATCAAGGGCACTGTCTCCATGAAGGCATGTCCCTTTAGAACTGAGATGAGGAGGAATTTCTTCAGCCAGAGGGTGGTGAATCTGTGGAACTCATTGACACAGAAGGCTGTGGAGGCCAAGTCATTGAGCGTATTTAAAACAGAGAGAGAGAGGTTCTTGATTATTAAGGGATCAAAGGTTTTGGGGAGAAGGCAGGAAGGATAGGGTTGAGAAACATATGAGCCATGATCGAATGGCAGAGCAGACTCGATGGGCAAATGGAAGCATTCTGCTCCTATATCTTGTCTTGTCTTGAGCTTGAGGGGTGGAGAGGGTTACTGTCACTGATGCAGTGCAGGTGTGTGACTTGGAAATGGTCTGGGTTTCCAGCTCCTAGCTGCAAATTAAAGACCCAAATGAAGAGTCTGGAATTCTTTCCCTAGCCCTATCCACCACCTCCAAACCCCACTCATGCACTCGCGCTCTCTCTCCACCTCCCTACCCTCTTCCTCCTTTATAGACACTCCTTAGAATCTAATTCTTTGATCAAGGTTTTAGACCCCATTCCTAATGTTCAGCTTAGTGACTCAGTGCCACTTTTTGACGGAGACCCTTTCTGGTGGCTCAGGACATTTTGCTATTAAAAGCAATCTTATAAATATAAGTTGTGGTTAAGTGTGTTCAAAAATGGGAATCCAAATTGATTTTTATTTTGCTGATGTGTAAGGGACTGAGGCCAATCGTACTTGCTCCATTTTCTTGTAGATTGTAACTGTCTGGTAACTTACTCAATACAGGTTGGGAATCCTTATACTTGCATGGCTCAGGTACTTGCTGAACAACTTAATTAATCTTTCAGGGAAACTCCAAGCTGTTGGTCATGAAGAGTTAAACAATATTGAATCCTGTGACCCAGTTAACAAAATGAAAAGCAATTTTGTTATTGCCAGTCACCTTGTTGAAAAGAAAAACAAAATGTAAACCATTTTTCATTCCTTTGACAACTTTTGGGATATGGTTCCAATCTGTCCATGTTGCAGTAATTCAGTGAACCTAGAAATTACTACTAGCTGACTGACTGTGTGGTATCACATCTTAGCTTAATCAAGTCTTCAGCCACATTTTGCAGATAGGATAGTTGATCCAATGCAGATCAGAGCTGGGAACTCCAAGCTAATTTTTATGCTAACCCCCATTTCCCCCGACAAGCAATTATCATGGTAGATCTACTGCCGAAACTGATATTAGCTAAGGATGGATCAGTCTTCCTTTCCTTTCAGCCTTAGAGTGTTCAAGTGTCAACTGAGATGTTGCTCTTCCATTTAGAAACTGGTTTTGTTTCACCCCTCTCAATGCAGCAGCCATTCCAAAACCTGAGACTGAAGTCCCTGCCTCTCCAGTCTCGTCGCATCACAGCAGCAACCAAGCAGTTTCTCTGACTGAAGAAAAGCGCACCCCCCAGGGCAGTCAGAACTCTTTGAACACAGTGAGCTCTGGCAGTGGCAGTGCCGGTGGAGGTGGCACTGGTGGTGCTGGTGTTGGAGGGGGTGTGCAGCCATATGACGTGGAGATACGGCGTGGAGAAAATGAAGGCTTTGGTTTTGTTATTGTCTCGTCGGTTAGTCGCCCAGAAGCAGGAACCACGTTTGGTAAGTTATATTTTAACATAAATTTGAATAAACTACGAACTCAAAATAATGGATTTATGAATGCAAACATGATACACTACAGTGAACGTGTTTGACAATGACCAAAGCTATCAGATATTTAATTGCGCTGAACTAGTACTTGTATGGTGAACCCACTCCTGTATGATTTGCTTATCCAGTCATTCAAATGAGCTGTGTATGTACGGACATTTTTAATGCAGTCCATTATTTTATTACTAATTTGTCTTTTGTATTAAAATCACAAGGTATTTGCAAGTACTTAATGTTTAGTACTGTTTGGAAAAGTACTGGACCAAACTACTTTACAGAAACAATAGATTAATTGTATCTGTAGATTATCATGGCATAGTATAGGATTTGTTAATAGTGTGTGGATTTATTATGGTCATTGGACTTGCCTATAACCCTGCATGAAATGCCTGCTTTCTGCTTTGCCTTGCTTCTTGTGTGGTTCATTTAACTGAGCAATTTTTTTGGGTTCCAATGAGTGTTCTTTCTTTGCTAATGATTAAATGTAACTGATTCAAGCTTGGCTTTTATGATTTTTAAGTTTGAGGTTCCATAAGAATCCACACAGTTTACTTGCTGTTACATGCTGCAGCTCACGGTTTTTAATTAGTGATTTTATTTTTCTTGAGTATCAAAGCTGTAGCATAGAAACTAACGTTTTTTTTGGTTCCAAATGGATCTCAGTGGATTTAAGATTTGCTTGCCTTTCTGCAATGAGAAAGAACAGAACATTGGCAAAGTGCTAAATTTACTCACATCATAGAACTCCTAAACTTGGCCTAATCAATACCGGAGGTGAGCACCTGAAACTGTGGCGCCAAACACAACCACAATTAGTGTTGATTTGCATTTGGATGTTACATTATAATCTTGACATCCTGAAGGAATGACATTATTACCAAGGTGTCTCCTTTGATCTCTGGATGTTTCACAATATCCCATCCCAAGGTAGTTTTGCTTTTTATGTGCAATGCTTGCTGATCCACAGTTCTGCATTGCATTAATTAACCAGAATGAGAGCTCAGATGCCTGAATATACGCTGTTTTTAAAATAAAAAACATCTGGTTATTCATGAGCCTCCAAATTTTCCAAGAGTATAAAGTACATGAATCAAATTTCCGCTTTCCCTGGTAAGAAAAAAGATGCTTTTATGTTTGTGACAGAAAATTTAGCGTATATAAATCACTTTTTAACTTAATTAAAGGTCCTAGAATATTTCTCCCAATATTTATTCCATTTGTCCTTTCAATGCCCACAATACTGAGAGCTTGAAACATTATATGTTGACTTGCATGAGCATTGTCAATTTGCATTTCATTTTTTTGAATTGCCATTATTAAATATCACTGAGATAATAGATTTCAGTAGAGCACCTGCTTCCTGTAGCAAGTGGCACCCCTTGCAGTTGGCATTTCCTTGCTAGACTCCTGTGCTACGTGTCCACTAGAAGACTGCGGATGCATTATTTTATTAGAGAAGGAAACAGACCATGGATCCACCTAGGAACTGCATGCGACCTCTTGAAAACCCTGCAGTATCTGTGGGAAATCATATTTGACTATTGACAGCTAAAAATCTTTAGAAGAGCTAAAGAGGGAGCTGCGTATTACTACTTCACTGATGCATTTTGTAGAACAGATTGCCAATGTTTTGATCATCAATCATGGGATGTAAAGCATTCCATCATTAATTTTGCTTGGTGGCACAGTAAATTAACCCCTGACCTTCTGTCTCCCTGTCCTCCTCTCCTAATGGTTCACCTTTACCACCTTCCCAATTAAAACTTGTACAAAACCAGGCAATGCATGTGTAGCCATGCCTCACAAAATAGGTCGGATCATCGAAGGAAGCCCTGCAGACCGTTGTGGCCAGCTTAAAGTTGGAGATCGCATTTTGGCCGTTAATGGATGTTCGATTACCAACAAGTCCCACTCGGATATTGTCAACCTGATCAAGGAAGCTGGAAACACTGTAACCTTGCGCATCATTCCTGGTGACGGTGAGTGAGCAGCTCTCCTACTTTGACAGAAACGAGACACCTGATACTTGGATTACATGTTGCAAATTGACAGTGACTTTACAAATTCTCCTGCTTTAATTTGTGGCATATTTTTATTTTCATGATTTATTTAGCTTTGATTCAAATTGTCGATTTTTTTTTTTCAAATCTATAAATGAAAAGTCCTACAAGTTCAAGGTGTAACAATTTAATATGACATATTCGTAAGGTGATAACAGTAATTTTAACGATTTGGCACTCCCAGCATGAAGTTTTTTCCGATTGGGAAACCCATTGTCAATATGGGTCTAGGATACCTGACTTGTAGCTCGTCCAGTCTTCTGCCCTTCATTTCCTACTTGATCTTTTCTTTTATTGTAAACTCGTTCAAATTATTCTATGCCCAAGACACAGGTAATTTACTTTTTCTTATGTATGATACCGCAACCTTTGCAGATATTTCAGTGGTCATATTTCTTGGTTCAGATCATCTAAAATGCAACTATGGTAGCTGAATATGTCAAATTTTGTTTTTATTAAGTGAAATTACAAGATTTGTATTGGTGCTTTTTAAAAAAAAAATATTCATTTTCAGTAGAGACTAAACAATCAGAAACCTAATATTTTAAAAGTTGGATTTCACAATAGAATTGTAAGCATTCCAAGAACTGTCAGCATGCGTGAAGCTATGTTTCTGATGTTTGTGGAATGATAACAATGAAAAATGTTTCTCTTTCAACATTTTCATACTCTATTCTGCATGATTATTAATATGTCTGTCTGGATGTAATCCATTGAGAGACAATTTCTGAGAAGAATCCACCATCCATGGCTAACTAACAAAGTTCAGGATGGTATCAAGTTGAAAGAAAAAGCCTGCAGCTTTGAAGATTAGTGATAGGTCAGGAGGTTAGGAACATCTTTAAAACCATTAAGGGAAGAAAGTGAAATATGAGAGTAAGCCGACAGGAAATGGAAAAACCAACATTAAGAGCACCAAAGAAAGCTAAAGTAAATGTTGGTCCCCTGTGGGATGAGATTGAAGGATATGATAAAACCTTGAACAAGTACTTTGTATTCATCTTTATGATAGATGATACAAAAAGCATTGTAATAACAGTTAAGAAAATCAAGGGAAAGAAGGGAGGAATACGAAATAATCATTATCACTGGAGAAGTACTGGGTAAACTAATGGGATTATTGGCTGACAAGTCCCCTTGTTCTGATGGCCTGCATCTCAAGGTCTTAGAAAAAGTGGTGGCTGGGATAGTCGATGTATGGATTGATTGATTGTAAAGTGCCAAAAATCACAGTGGATTGGCAAACTGCAAATGTTCATCTCTAATCAGAAAGGAGGAAGACCAAAATTAGAGAACTATAAGCAAAGCAAAACACAACGGGTGTTGAAAATCTGAAATAGAAACGGGAAGTGCCGGAGAAACTTGGCAGGTCTAGCAGCATATGTGGAGAGAGGAAAACAGAATTATGTTACAAGTCCGATACAAGTCCTCTTCAATTTTGAAGAAGTGACAGCAGAATGTTTAGAAAATCATAACACCGTGTTGTCTCCCCGTGCTTGTATTATGAAAGGAAGCTCATGCTTGATAAATTTATTTCTTCCTTCGAGGTCTTTGAGTCCTTTTGAAGATGTAACAAGCTTGTTGGATTAAGCAAGACCAGTAGATACAATGTATTTGGATTTCCAAAAGATATTCAATGAGTTGCTAAATAAAAGGTTATTGGGCAAGAAAAGGGCTCATGGTGCTGGGGTGATAGATTAGCATGGATAGAGAATTGACGAACAACGAAGTGTCAGGAAAAATGGCATGTTTTCGGGTTGGAACTCTGTAATTAGTAGAATGCTACAATAGGCTGAAGCCTCAACTACCAATAGACTACATAAATAGCCAGAATGAAGGGACTAAATTTGCTGATGATTCAAACATAGGCATGAGAATAAATAGGCTTCGAGGATGAAAGGCCTGGATTTTCACAGAATTAGGTGAACCTTTTGAATCATTTAAAATGGCAGGCGGGTTCTGATTCCGGGATTTCAGCATCTCCCAGATTTTGCTGGCAAGCAGGGAAAAAAGCCATAATTTTGGGGAAAGATAGGCTGGTGTTTCTACATTTCTGAGTGTTAATCAATAAAAGAAGCTTTAAGCATTTCATGCCTCTTAATCATGTAAACATATATATTGAGACAATGACAAAACAGACACAAAATATAATTTATAACCACATGAAGATGTTAAACAGAAACAAAATTTCTGGTCTGTACCAGGTGTATCCTTGCTGAAATCAACAGAGAAGACCATAAGTTGGCTTGGGAGCTATAATGGGACATAGGATGGATGAGTATGAGTTGTCTTGGGAATTGTAAGGGGGAGCAGAAGTGTGAGGGCTAAAGGGCCTGATAGATTTTAATACAATTAGTTAGAGGTCCCAGAGAACTGAGCTGGGCCTTTTGACCAGCCCAATTGACACTTCACCTCTCCGAAAGCTACTTCCAATCTTCCTCCTGGAGCAATGGGTCTGAGTCTATCCCATGTTGCCCTAATGTCACATCCCTGCAGCACATCTCCAGCCATTCATAGGCCTTTCTGCAGCAAACCTCCAAGGAAAAGACCCTATAAAGGCACATATGTAAGTTGTGAATGGACGACAATTTGGCACATTAAATATAGTTTAGGATTCTGTGAGGTTTTCCACTTCTGCAGAAAGAAGAGAAAAGCAGAACATTATTTAAATGGTGACACACTGCAGAATGCTGTAGTACAGAGGGATTGGGATGTCCTCTCACATGAATGACAGAGTTGACATGCATGTACAGCAAGTAATTTGAAAGCAAATGATGTTACCCTTCATGCAAGAGAATAGAGTATGAAAGTGGGAGGTATCTTGGTACATATTGGTGAGATTGTATGCAGAGTACTGTGTACCATTTTGATTTTTTTATTTAAGTAGTGATTTATTTTTGGTCACTAAGTTGATTCCTGGGATGAAAGGGTTACCTTTTGAGGAAAGTTTGAGGATTTTGGGCCTTCAATTACCAGATTTTAGAAGAAGGATGCTGTTGAAACATAGGCCTAAATAATACAGGGGTGAGGAGACAACTAAGTAATCCAATACACAGCACATTGTGTGGCATCTCATTTTGGAGGGTATCCCATCCTCTGCAGCTCCTGTAGTCTTGGCAGTTTCAAAGCTCAGTCATTCGCACTTCTGCGAATGCAGGGCGGTCCACAAAGAAGCCAGCTATGGATCCTGAAGCGCGATACATCAGGTGTGGGTGGTGTTCACGCAGCCTCAGGTGGGGCTGGAGTTGTGGGTTTTGAAGTATAGGTTGGTAAGAAAGAAGGAGCATACCGTTTTATCAGAAGTCACCCAAGAGGGTAAGGACACCCTCCAAAATTGGACCCTGCCACCATTCCTTCCTGTCATTTTTATATTTAAAGAAGCAAGCTACCCATATCATGGTTTATGGTATGGGTAGGGTAACCTTGGAGTCAATTCAGCTTTTAGCAAGCTCACTTGAACCTTAATTATTTATTTGTATATGGTTAGTGGCTACTGATCCCAGTGCCCACTCCCTCTCCATACCCAGCAGGTGCGCTCAGGGCTAGGTGGGAAATTGATGGGCTAGATACCCAACCTATATTATGGGCCCCCTTGTCAAAAATCCACCCAGTAGGGGCACATAATATCCAAATCATAGATTCTAAAGGGACTTGACAGTGGAGATGCTCAGGGAATTTTCCTCTCGCGAGGCATTCTTGAACTGAGGACACAATATCAAAACAAGTGATCTCCCATTTAAGATGGAGGTGAGGACTCTCTTCTCTCAGACGTTTCTGAATCTTTGTAATTGTTTCTCAAGAGACAACTAGGGTCTGGGTCGTCGAAATTTATTCAAGGCTGTGTTAGACAGGCTTTTAATCTACAATGGAGCCAAGCGTTATGTAGCCAAGCAGGGACATGGAGCTAAAGGCACAATCAAGCCAACCATGATCTTATTGAATGGTAAAGCAAGCGCAGGTCAAATGGCTTGCTCCTGCCCCTGTTCGTTAGGAAAATAAGCGAATGTGTCTAAAATAATCAGTGCAATATCGTTTCTAAAGATTCTTTTTTCCTTCTTATAGAATCCTCCAATCCATCCTTGCTAACAAATGCAGAAAAGATTGCAACAATTACAACTACTCATAACCCTCAGCAGCCACCACAGGATGGTGGAAGGTAAGATATGTCCTTATTGTTTTGTAGTTACTGTGATGTAGTTGTATTTGGAAGCACTCCATTTGTTTCCAGTTTAGAGCAAAATCAGCCCAGTTCCAATATTCTGACTACTATTTGTTAACTTCTATCTGGGCATAACATAAGAGTGAACTTCTCCCTGCCATCAAATATCATCCCCTCCCCCAAAAATAGTTGTTATAAGCAAAAATGGAAAGTTTTTAGTTTAATAAAACTACCACCGGCAGCAAGCTGAAGGCAAGAATGGGCTTGGCTGCCAGTAGATAATATCTGTTTGTTCATGACAGACGATCAGCATTCACATGAGTTACCACAGGGTTACCAGTCATCATAGAACTGAGCCCCAGCCACATCTCCACATTCAGGAGAGAAGGACAGAGAGCAATGGGGGATGAGTTGTGGGGAAAAAAGGTAAAATTGGAGATAAGTCGTTGGCCTGAAGTTTATAGTCAGCAGCAGTGATGAGCCTCACAGCTGATGTTGAAAAAAGCTACTCACATAGGTTGGGCCTCTCCTTTTAGGAGGATCTCCTGGCATCCGGCAGCAGGATTGTCAGCAAGCTGTTTACATGTCAAATGAGACTGAAGAATTCAAACAGATAACAAACCAAGAAATAAAGTACATAGATTATCTTCCCTGTTTATATTTTACAGGGATTGAATAAAGTTTGACACATACACAAATGAAGACAAAATTTAGCTTTCTAATAAAACGTTTTTATCAAAATGGAAAATTTTAGTCGTGCAGTTATAAACTGTGTTTCCATTTCTTGATTTATTTAGGAACCTCATGAGATTCTTAAGCAATAAATCTGACTTAGTGTGTAGTTAAAAACCATGTCCACCACATTAACAAGGTGTAACTTTTTTGTGTGTAAGAGCAGTGTTACTGCTTAACACGAAATTCTCATCGATTCAGTGATTCTAAAACATTGCCATCCATGGGAACTTCAGCACAATGTATAGAGGAGCGAGGACAATTTCCTCACTGAAATTGTGATCCTCTCAGTGTTCACTATCAGTAGAACCCCAAAATACACAAATGTGTAATGGGTAGTGCAGAAGAATTGATAGCTTGATTTTACATTGTTCTGTAAAATGACTATTTAATTATGATTTTTTAAAATAGGATTTGAGCTCAGTATAAATAAATGACTTGGAAGAACTCAAAACTCAATTTGTATTTTTTTAAAATTTTGTTTTAAGGAGTAACACAAAACCAAAGCGAGATGGATCGTATGATTATAAGTCAGCTCAGGTACGTTCAGGTGAATTTAATTACTGAAAATAGATGCAGTGTTTGATGAAATGGTATTAGATCAAGGCCATTTAAAGATGGGAATACTTATTAACATTGTGTTTCGTGTTATTATCTTAAATCCAGTACATGTGGAGATCAGGGAGGCGAGTTGCAGTCATGTAATTTTATTGCCATTCACTCACTATTTGATCAGCAAGGTGTTTACTTGACCCATGCCACTTTTCAATCAACATCTCTGGAAGCACTAAAATAGGCTAAATTGATTTATTTTCTGTTGTTTCCTCCAACTTCATGAGGCAATGCTTGTCTTCTGCTCAATTTCTGCTTAATTCACACTTGCCTCAAAAGCTTTTGGGGAGATTAGAGATGGAAACTCCCAATGTGACGTCAATTTTTGCCACCATACAGCAGAACGTATTAGTGTACCATTATAGTACTGGGCCAATATGGTAGTATATCTCAATGTTCAATGTTTTGGTAAGGTAGCTGACTTTTTGCTTCTGAAAATTACATTTTGGCCTAGCATTTATTTCCTGTTTGTAGGAGGCTAGCCAGTGTGTTATTTTAATGCAAGCAAACGATAAGAAGGATTTGAGCTCATAATTATTAATTTAAGTACATTAATATGATTTTAGTGTAACCAGTCAGAACTGAAATGCTTAAACTGAGTGAACTAAACGTTTTAGCTAAACTCCTTTGCATCACTACTTTTTTGAGGTGCAACAAATTTTGAAATGACTTAAATATCAATACTAGATGAATTATTAAGCAGTTTCATTAAGAAACACAGAAGCACATCGTTTTTGACAATGTTGTTGCTGATTTTTATTTTGTTTAATAATCCAAAACTTGCATAGAATATTTCAAGAAAAAAACAGACATTCTGCCAAACCGATCTGTTGTGGTGTTTGTTACACATGAGCCTCCTTCCATTGAACTCCTATTAGCACAATCTGTTCAGTTTTTTTGTTGATTATCCGACTATCTTCTCCAGTTATGTCTTTGTAATTATCTTTTTTTTCTTAAATATATCCAAATTATTTACCTCAACCACTCTGTTTACATTCTGATTGAAGAACTTCGTCCTGAATTGCTTATTGGATTTCGGTATTTTTAATCATCCTGTCTAGGGATGTTATAATACACCTCTGGAGCAGGTGAGACTTGAACCCAGCCCTCCAACCTCAGTGGTAGGGGCATGTTCACTATTCCATGAGAGCTTTCTTGGACTTGCTCTGCCAAACCATTTCATAATTTGAAGAACCTGTTTACGTCTTCAACAAATACCGAGAATGCTGGAGAAACTCAGCAGGTCTGGTAGCATCTGTGGAGAGAGAAGCAGAGTTAATATTTCAAGTCCAGTTTGACACTCCTTCAGAACTGAAAGGTGTTGGAAACTGTTTGTTTATTTTTTTAATGTACTGTTAACAGAAGTGGAGAAGACAAAGAGGTTGTTACTGGTGGAGAAAAACAAAAGGACGTAAAATGGGTGTAAATTAAGGTATGGAAAGGAGAGACTTGGTTCGTTCTATTAATTAGAAAGGAAACAAGACATAAACGATAAGGCTATGGGGGAGGGAATGGAGGAGAATTAAGAAAAATGGAGAACGACATAATGGAGTCAGTTTCTGAAGTTATTGAATTCAATATTGAGACCTTGAAGCTGTTAGGTGCCAAAGCTGAAAATGAGTAGTTGTTCCAGTAGCTTGCGTTGTAGTGTTGCTGCAACACTGCAAAGCGGAGGTGTTCAGCAAAGCAGTCACCCAGTCTGTGTTTGCCTTGCCAATGTAAACTGCGTAGCGAATAGCGCATACAGAGGACCAGGTTGAAATAAGTACAGGTGAACTTCTACTTCGCCTGGAAGGTATGACTGGGGCCTTGGATGATGACGAAGATGGAAGTGAATGGCAAGTGTTAATCCTTCTGCAATTATATCGATAGGTGCCATGGAGAAATGAGGAAGCATTAGAAGTGATGCAGGACTGAACCAGTGAGTCACAGAGGGAGTAGTCTCTGCAGAATTTCAAATTTTCAGTATCCGCAATATTTTGTCTTTATTCAACTGTGTGTCTTTTTTTTTCTGTAGAACCCCAGCCTAGTCAGCTTTCCTGATACTTCCCTGATACTAATGAACGCCTTGAAAACAACCTTTAATGTATTGCTTTTTCAATGCTCCCTTGAGCAAGGCACCATAAAATATTGCATTTAATTCTTCAAAATATTTCACTATCGGTTTGTGATTTGTGCTGATCATAGTATGAGCAGTCATTTGGCTGAGATTGATGTAAATGTTTGCCTTAGAAAGGGAAATCTTTCTGCAGTTTGAAGGGCCAAATAAGCTTGCTTTCTGCAAGATTTCCCGCTTTCTGTTGCATGTAAAGCCACTGCAACCGTAGGTAATGGGTACTGAGAAATGTAATTAATCAGGGTCTTTGGTCTGAACTATGGAGCTACGTTAATGTCAGTCATTCACAACACCTATTGAATCATTGCTTTATAGACCACAGTATTGAGCCCCTTTTTGTATTTCAATTTGAATAAAATGAACATTTGACAAACTGAACCAACCTTTGTTATCTCAGTTAGAAGTTACACTGTCTGGTATGCATCAAGAACATCCTAGGTTTGTTCAATATGTTACAATTGGCCTCATGACACTGTGTAGAATAGAGTCAAATTGTTTGAGTTCCCATTCCTGATGACTAGCAAGTGACCTCTGAAGGAGATGTATATAACTTGAGTGGAATGTGATTAGATTCAGCTCTAATGCATCATATTGCCTGGTTATCAGGCATTACTGATAGGGGGGAAAAAAAATCAATATTTCTGTTCCTTTTCTACCTCCAAACAATGAATTGACCTCACTTAACAAATGTTTATACTTCTCTAATTTGTGTTCTGAGATTTCAAGATTTCTATAAAATTAAAAAGATCTACTTACTATCATCATAATTTCAACTGTCAAGATTTTCATACGAAAACCTTTCTCATAAAATATTTTCTTTATTTATTGAAGATTGTTTGTAGTGGCATCGCACTGCAAAATGGAGCATAGGGCAACAAATCCAAACAGTTTTCTGATGTGAAATCAAAAGAACAAGCAATTAATATAAATCCCTGAGTTTAAAATCTAGTCTGCACAGGTTTGGTTTTCAGTTGAATCGGATTCTTCTTTGTAATGATGAGTCATCTTTTTCAAAGTTATTACTTTGTTACAGGCAATGTGTATCACTGCGTATATTCAGCCTCTGGTTATCTGGCGAAATGTCTCATTGTGGGATTGGAGTCAGCATCAAATTAGATTCTCTTGTATAACAGCCAAATTTATCAATCTAAAATCATCAGGATTGACCACATATTCACCAGGTTCGTGCTTGGTGGAGGGATATTCACTGATACTGGGGTGTCCTAGTCATTTCTCCTTTCAAAAACAGTCAGGTGCCAGAAATATCATTGAACAATACATACAGGCTCAGTCAAGGCTTCTGTAGAGTGTGTCTGCAGCCAGTGTTCCATGGGAATGAAGTGCCCTTCTGCTGATCCCACAAATATTGGAGGGCATTAATGGGTACAATTCTTGGTAAAGCCACAGGAATACTGTAGATTTTTGAAACATTCATTCTAACTTCACATAAATCTCTGCTTTCTTAAATCAGGCCATCTATTAAAATGTTCTTAATCACTTATGTAGGGAGCATCTGGCATTGCATCCTTTATAGAGGAAACTAAATGGGTTTAATCCAACAATTTGGAGAATATTAATTGAAAAGACTTGAAGCATTTTTGTTTCTTCTTCTGATAACAACAGACTTTTATTAGCATGGCTTTAATTACATTATTGACCTTGTTACTATGATGCGTTAAAATGAAAGATTTAACCAGCATTCCAAAATGTGTATCATGGCTTGTTTTTCCTTTAATAGCTTAGCATACCTAACCTTTTACCTTTGGAAAGCTGCGTTCTTTAATTTGGTATTGCTTTTGTGTTGTATCTGCCAAATAGAAATGTTTGATGTTAATTAAAAGCAGAATAGAAAGCCCCACGAGCACCATTGTACAGGTGGGTGGCCCAAACAGACTGCAGCTGCCGTGTGAGCACATCCCTACAAGATCTAAAGAAATAGAAATTACAGTGAGCCTATCAGGCCTGCTGTCCTAGAAGAAGATGAATTGGTTGCATTAAGGAATCACATAATGATTGATTAACTCAATCAAAGTGCATTTATTTTCCAGTAAAAATTGTTGTGTGTTGATTTTTTTTTAAATGATGCGAGGGAGCATGCATCCCTCCATTCTATTTGTAACCTATTCCAGGACCACACACTGTCTGATGGAGAGCTCTGATCTGATTGTTATTCACGTGACATTTATGTTGTTTCTGCCTCCTCTCTAGTCAGATACCTTGCCTCCACTCAGAAGCTGTTCAGAGGTGAATAAGAAATGTAGGAGCGCAAAGATTATCTACCATGATTACTCTACTCATGACATTACATTACCTAAACAGTATAGTGTCAAATTGACAAAAGATCCCGAATCAAGGATAAGTAGTGTTAGGATGCAAAGTGTTCAACTAAATATTAATGGATTTGAACAAAGACAGACATTATGCAAAAGTACACACTATTGCTGTGAATTTGCTGAAATACAGTGAGGAGTGATGAGCAATTCTTTGTTCTAAACAGCAAAAAATGTTAGTTTACTCTTTAATTAAGACCAACAGAGTGCACAGGGAAATGTAATTCAGTTATGTTGTTTCTGGGAATGTAACTGCATTGGAAGTCGTTTAGGAGAGAAAGGAAAACACAAAGCACTCCCCCTTTTAATTAAAATAAAATCAATTAAATAAAGATACATTTGTCACTCCAATTTAATGACTCCAGAGATAGTCCACAATTGAGGAATACGCTTAATATAAGATTATAATTGCAGAAAAGGATAAGAGAAGAGCTCAGGAATTACAGGAGTGCTGTGTTACAGAGAACTTCTATAGAAGTAATAAAAGTCCAAGAAAGCACAAGAACTGATATCCTTGTGATGGAATTATTATGATCAAAAGTCTATCTGCCCTAAAAGGGAGCACAAGGGAACCAAATTTAGCTACCATTTTCTTTATGGCTTGCAGCTGCTTTTCACTGAGGAATTCACATAATGCTTTTGCTGACTTTGTAATATGAGGCAATGAAAAAGGATCTTGTCCTAACCTCGAGTTACATTTTTGTGTGTTACTAAGTTTGCTTACCACAGATTCCCAGTGGCAGGTAGAACCTGCACTTGACGCAACTGTGCAAGTTTGGAATAGTTGAGCAAAGTAAAGTAGCTTCTGGATAAACCAGGTTGAGTGATCTGAATGACAGCTCATCTATATCATGTTTTGTTATGGATCAAATTTAGTAATCACATTCCACAGGGAGTCCAAACCAAGTGAAATCTAAGGGTTAGAGTGAAGGATGTTTGAACAAAAGAACGTGAACTAATTCAGTCTTCATTTTAGAGGATTATGGTCTGTCTTTTATTCATATATAATGCTTCTATAAAGTTTTTAATTTGGACAGTACATTTGTTTGAGCATTTGAGTTTTTCTGCAGTCCAGTTTAAGTATCCTCACAGGCTGAGGAGTTTAAACTGAAGTATAAGCATGCCAACACAAGTGGAGGGTGCAGATGCAAGGTGACAAGTTCATATTGGCAATTTCTACTTTAAATGTGGACATAGTTTATAATGGGAAAAGTTGATTTTATAAAGTATGAATAGACATAAGATTTTTAGTACATTATGGATGATGCAGTTGAGCAGAGGAAAGCAAGTGGGAGTTGTGTTCAAATAGGAATGATTGATCTGCTGGAATGAATAATCCTAATTGATCTCTGGTATCAAAGAGGTGTCTGTGAGGAAAACTAGGGTTAAAATGTTTTCTGAGGTAATTGTTCCTGCTGTTGGAGTTAATTGGTTCTCTGGACGGGAGGATAGATTCACTGGTAAAGACAACGGAGCAATTACAACTGAGTCCCAAGAACTTGATGTGGTATTAATATGCAAAACTCCCCCAGACCAGGATGACCATTTTTTTTTAAACCAATAAGGTGTGTTATTAGTGGGATATATGGGCGTTCATTTATCTAGATTTTTTTTTCATGTATATTTGTCATTAAGATTTCACAAGTCAAGAAGATACCGCTTTTTTTTTTGCAAACATTGTTGAATGTTATTTTTATCTTCCAAGGAACCTGAACTGTACACTGTGGAATTGGATAAGGGACCAAAGGGTTTTGGATTCAGTCTTCGTGGTGGGCGTGAATACAACATGGACCTTTATGTACTCCGATTAGCTGAGGATGGTGCTGCCATCAGAAATGGTAAAATGAAGGTGAGTAGATAAAAAGCAGCATCAAAAACAGATGGTACATGTATTAATTGTTAGATACCAAAAGCAAGTTATCACATTCTATGCTTAAAAGAAAACTGATCAAGCTTATAAATTCAACCATGTGCCAGGAAGCCTGCTTTGCCATTCGGTATATGATCATCGTTGATTTTCTGCACCAACTGCACTTTCTGGCCAGTTTCCCATAACATTTGATTCCTCAAGGGAGCAAAAGTTTGTGCCCCAGCTTGAAATACAATCGGTAACGGGGCATTGTTAAACCTTTTGGTGTAGAGAGTGCCAAAGATTTCCAAACCTTTGAATGAAGAACCATTTCCTAATCTTGGTTGTAAATGATCAACCCCATAAACTGAGATTATGGCTGGAATCTTCCCATCCCCTGAATGATGTGGGCATTCGTGAGGGAGTTGAGAGACTCACGTGGGATCGACAGTGAGGAGCTTCCTGCCATTGTGAGTAAACAGCCTCATAGTAGGAGTACCCCCCACTCCCCTGCCCCCGACCGGGGACGAAAACTTGGGAGGGAGGGAGGCAGGCAGGATCCAGGCAAGTGGAAGATGTTTATTCGGGCAGAATCCAGTTGATGCAAGGAGAGGGCCAAAGAATCTTCCCTGAATCAGAAGGAAGATCAGTGACACACACTGATTTTTGCAGTGAAAATACAGCTTTTTACAATAATCAAACACAGCGTAGTCACTGTCCTTCGTTCTTAATCCATACACCCAATCCCATGGCTCACTTAATCAATGATGGGCATTCCTATGGACTGTCCCAGGTTCCCATGGTCTTACGGCGTTTGTAATCTCTTGGCCTTGGGGTCTTTCTATGAATCCTATTCATTCACATTCCAAATGTTTGCTGGCTACGCTCCTTCAGATCTGTCTCAGGCTTCTTATCTCTAAGGACAGTGTGAATTCTATTATTCATTGTACTACATAGGCTTTAATTTATCAAATTCAGCCATTGCTCTAATATTTCCCACTGTCCCAATTACATAACGTTAAAATAAAAAGTCAGTGAGTTTTAAACTAATTGCTACAAGGTTAATTTCTGTTATAAAGTTAATTACAAAGTATAATGTTACACAACTAATTCTACTGTTAACATCTTGTAATTTATGGGTTGTGAGCAATCTATCTTGTTCAGGGCATAAGAGAAGATGTCTCCTAAGACTAGTTAACCTTTACATCCATGCTTAGATGTTTTTTAAATGCTTGTATTATATTCTGGTTATGCATTGAAATCAACTTCTATGATTAAAGTATTTTTAACTAGAAAGTATGTAATATTGCAAGTACCTTCAAAGAAGCAACTATTTACTATGAAATAACTTTAGCTGTTGTCCTTGCAGCTGCTTAGGGATTTAATCTAGCACCTGATGTTATTCATTCACTGGGACAATCATCCTTTCATTAATAAGACTAGAACTGGTCATTTATCTGTCCTAAGGCATTCTCTTATCAGAACTGTCTCTGATGGGAACATACAGTGTTCTTTTACTGATCTTTTATAGCAGTTCTGTTCAAAGTTACCGTTGTATTTCACTGTCTGAGCAGGCTGCTTAGTTTTGTTTACCTTCTGTCTGCCATCTTGTAAGCAGGCATGGACCACTTAGTGTGGTCAGGTACAAATCACCTTATGTAGACAGGTACAGGTCACCCATACACACATGATCCATCCAAGTGTTAAACTGAGAGATGAGATTCCAGCATTGAGTGGTGAGAGGCCTAATAGGCACTGGCACATATTAACATTGTCTTTATTATATTTTTTTACCTCGGTAAAATGCAGCTTCCTATTCTCACACCCACTGCATAGAAACTAGTTTAGGCAAATTCCTAATATGTAAGTCAGAGCAAGTACCTGGCAACTCCAGCTCAGCGCTTGTTCCTCCATAATTCGGCAACATCGCAGGGCACGCTCCATGGTCTGTAACTATACACACTGTCCATCTAGCAGGACCTCCAGGTCCCCATTGACAAAGCAGGTTGTCAATAATCCTTTATCTGACATGTCTGGGACAATTACCATGAACCATAAAGGGTGGTGGTGCACTGCCAGTGCCTGACTGGGTTTCCTGATGGACTTTCTGACCGGTGCCAGAAATCCTATGATATTCCAGCCAGCGCATCCATCTGTGGCAAGTGGGTAAATTAGACAGTTGTAGGGGTGTGGTGCATGATTAATGAGTTGAGTCTGGGGTAACACAAGAAACTCCACTAGAGCTTGAGGAGAGCAACTCTTGAGACTTGCCAAAACTGAACTTAAGTAATTTCTGATAAGATTCAGTCCCGTGTTCCTGTGCAATCAATGTCCAGCCAGGAGAATCACCTCTCATTCTGCTCCACTCCAGACAGTCAGGACCACATTTTACTCAGCCTCTCATGATGGAACCTCCCTAACATCCCACAAGTTAATTAGCCTTTGGTGTGCCACTGATGAAGCAATATCGTATTCTTTGGACATAGCGAAGGAAATAGTGCACATTTCTCTCCACAACCTGACACAATTGTAGCAAGACTTGCTAATCTGACAATTAAATCCCCATGAAGTAAAGGCCAAAAGTTAGTTTGCCTTTCTGCATGCTAACTTACAAATGCACCCAATTCAAATGAACAATAATTATAAGTTTTTTTGCATCTTTCAAAAAAAAATTGATTTTCTATGTTTTACTAAAGAAGTGAATAACCTTGTAAACTAATGTATCGAGTTTGTCCTATCTTAAGTGGAATGAAAAACAAAGTTCAGGCTCAATTGAGAAATGAAACATTGCATTGAGTTGATTGAGTGTTCATATCATTAAAGTATTGCTTTTATTGTATGTATGGTTAATATTTTAGTTTGTGGAGTAGTCTAATTTACTGCAGCAGTAAAACGGTTTCAAAATTTTCTGTCAAAACTGAAATTTAGGTGGTGAAGGAAAGAACACTAAAGCCAAGACTTTATTCATTTACAAAATTTTATTTTCAGAAACTTTTACATATTGCATACTGCCAGCAATTTTTATAAAAAGATCTTTCAACTTCTTCTTGTATAAATAAATATTTTTAATTGACTTGACATGTTATGACATACCTCGAAAGGAGGTGGGACTTGAACCCAGACCTTCTGTCAGGCACGCTGCCAGAGCATCACAAAACCTCTAACAATAACCAGGGCTCTGGCTTACTATTCCTATGACATTACTACTATTCCAATATTTTCTCTTTCCAATTAATAACCAGTACCTGAATACAATGAACCCTTAATTAATGTACAATTAACTTCCAAATGATTTTACTAACTTCAATATTAGAGAAGTTGAATAGCTGGAAGAGGCAAGGAATGGATAAGGCTAAGTGGATGTAAGTTCAAACAAAACCTGGATCATCTGAATGAATTCTGATTTTTCTGCTTCAATGAGAAAAAATGTTCATACATTACTTAAGATGAATAGATACTGTATTCCTAACTTATAAATGGAGAAATCTGATTATCAATAGCTTAAAATGGTGAAGCTGTAGTTTTCAGGTTAAATTTTTTTAGAATAACATTTCCCTTGACCACATTGGCATTGTAATGAATCTGTCCTACTCGAGCCGAACTGCTATCCATCGCTGAAACTTTCCTTTTATGGTGATTACTGGTGCAAGCATGACATAGTAACAACGAACAAGAAGACGTGCATACTGAGTGATTTTTATCCTTCCTTTTAACGTAAGGTGAAGATGTATGTTAGTAATCAGTGCTATGGTTTGCAAACCAAATGTATCATCATGACTGCCAAAGCAATATTATTTATTTATTTAAGTACTATAATTTCTTTACATGTGCAATAATATTTCCCCACTTACAATTGCAATCAAGCCAAGAGTAAGTTATGAGTATTAATAAGAAACTAAATTAAGCACGCAGATAAGACATTTCAACTACCATAATGAAGAATGTGAACAAATAAGGACAATGGTAGATTCCAATACAATGTCCTGAAATGACTAAGTGAGTAGATTAGGAACTGTTAAACTGCAGTGCTGAAATTGATCACCCTGTCTTAGTTTATGAATTATTTGTCACTCTTTATCAGAGCAGGGAAGTTATCCTTGTTGTCCTGGCCAATATTTATCTTGCAATCAATGTAGCAGCTAGTGAGAGCTGACTGCACATCAGTTGGCTGCCATGTTTCCTACATTACAATTTGACTACATTTCAAAAGAATTGTATTGACTGTAAAGTGCTTTCTAATATCCTGTGCTCATGAAAGATACTAGATAAATGCAAATGTTCATTTTATAGTAGAGTACATGAAGATTGCAACAAAAACAGACATGCTGTTGGTTCTTTTCGTCTTGCAGTGATCAGAACAGAGCATAGGATTCAGGAGTAGGAATAGTCTATTTGACCTTTTTGAATCTCTTTTGAATTTCAGTTAGATCATGGTGAATGTGGTTGTAATCCCGGCTCCACTTTGCAGCCTATATCGTCAACGATCTGTCAAACTCCATCTTGAATAAGCTTTAAAGACTCATCCTCCACTACCTCCTGGGTTTAAAACAACTCTCATTGTTGTACACAGTAAACCTCTTTTTAAACATTGTCCCCTTGTTTTGCTGTCTCCTAAAAGAGGAAACATTCTTCCTCTGATTGCCCCAAGATCGTAGATGTTTCAAAAAACACCTCTCTTTCTTCTAAATGCCAATGGATATAGGCCTGATCTGTTCAATCTACATTCATAAAATAAGCCCTTCATCCAGAAACAAGTCGGGTAAACTTTCTGTGTACTCATTGTAAAACAATTTTTTTTTCAAATATAGAGACTGAGGCTCCACACAGTCCTCTGGTTGTGGTCTGACCAATGCCCTGTACAGCAACAGTTAAACTTGCTACTTTTCCATTCCATTCCCCATACAATAAACAAAAAGAATCATAACATACACCGTATTTCAAAGGGACAACAATTTGTACTGCATAACAAAAGGGTGAACTCTAGTTGCGGTGTTGCCATGGAAAATGTAGCAGGCAACAGTGATCCTAAACTTTTGTTTAAATTCAAAGCAGGTAATTTGACTCTGATCAAGATGGTGGAAAGCGCCAGGAATTTTTGTTTGATCCTTGTGGTAATCAGCAGTTTTAGAAGACAAGTGGAGAAAATAGGAAAGGGTGGTTTTTAAACAAAATAATTACCCAGTTTAAAAATGTTTGATTTTTCTCAAAGATCCCCTCGTGCTGCTCTGGTGAAATCTTCTTATTTATATTTATGATTATTTTGTTTTTAGGTTGGAGATGAAATTCTGGAGATCAATGGAGAATCGACCAAGAATATGAAGCATTCTCGTGCGATAGAATTGATTAAAAATGGTGGTCGGAGAGTATGCCTATTTCTGAAACGTGGAAATGGTTATGTGCCAGAATATGGTGGGTTGCCCTATGAAAATGTTACTTTCTCCAATACTATCACTCCATGAGTGATTGCTTCCTCTTTTTTTTTCTGTTAAGATTTGGGAATTGTTTCCTTTTTTCACAAATGTCTTATCTTTGTACAGTTTTTGGTTCTAATCTGCTGATACTAATTCTGTACAATTGCTATTTTCCTTTAAAATGGACTGGAGTAAATATAAGTACAGGCAGGACAGCATCTTTTTCCAACAAGAATATTTGACTTAGTTCAATTCTTCATTGTTCTAATGCCTACTGAGTATATAACTATACAACAAAATGTTTGTTAAATGGGGATAAAACCACAATTTGAGTTTCCATCCTGGAGCCAAAAGTAGATTGGAAGTGTTTCAATATTTACTGATTTAAACGATCATGTTTGCATCAGTCATCATGGAAACATTGTCTTATTGCCAATTATTTAGTTACAGACAGATTTTCATTAACAGCATACTGTAATCTTGGTTACCTTTTAAAAAAAAAAATTGCATAAATGCAGAACAGTTTTATACTTGCAATCTGCAGTACTTGTACTCCAGACCTTTCTGATGGAATTTTCTATTTAACAAGCTGGTTTACTCGAAAGATATATTCAGATGCTCTTGATGATTTATTTAATGTCTTGCTGCTTCCTTGAAAAGTTTGTGAAGTTTTACATGAGAATATGAAGCTGAATTTTAACACCTAAATTTACTAACACCTCTCTTGAATTCAAATGAATGGAATTAATTATTATTTTAAAAAAAAACTATCGTTACCAAAAATAGAATTCTCAACTTCCTAAACTTTTGATTTTTTAAAATCTCCATCGAAGTGATGGGCCTCACCTATCTGTAAGGGTATATATTTTTGTAACAAGTTCTGTAATTAATTTTAAAATGATACATAACGTTCCATTGGATTTAAATGTAGTTTGTAAATATTTAAATGAGTCATTGTTTATATGCAATTTTGACTTATTGTATTGTGATAAAAAAATGGAATGCATTTCCCAGTAGAACTTCCTGGTGCTCTTTTTTTTTCTGTATCCTTTGGTCTTGCAGCTGCTGTCTTTGCAGTCTAATTGATTTTTGCCTGGACAATCTGACTGGAACAATAATAAACATCTTTCCACGATCAACAGAGTGATCAATCCTGTTGCTGCTTACTAATAGGGAATCTAAATCTATCTTCTGCTCTTTTTCTCTCTCATCTTTTCTGGGTGCTGGGCTCTTCGTTCTGCCCTCAGCGATGATACCTCCTAATCTCTCCTCATGCATGAGAAGTGACAAGCACGGGGAGTCTTGCTTCTACTTAATGGGCCCTAATCAAAATACGGTTGGTAGACAAATCAATATTTGCTGCTTCCATCTTGCTGCCTTAGGCTCATACTGTGTTCCATTTATGTCCATTCAGCCATATATCCATGAATATGCTTACGTTCATCAATATGCAGGTTTCCAACTGATCATGCGAGCAGAATTCATTTATTTTGCCTACGTTTGTGGGACGTGAGCTGTTTTAGAAGAACCTGATGTTTTTGTATTTAGTATAATTCTGTGTTCACTAAGATGGAACATCATATTACAGTTGGATAAGTCCACCATATCAATTAGTACACCTTGATTCCACAAATTGAAATTAATGGTGTTTAAAAATTGTATTGACGATGTAAGCAATTGCCCTAAGTCTTTATTTCAAGAGGTAAATATTTCATGATTCTGAAGGAGGAGGAGGAGGCATTAAATTGAATATTTCATTTTCAAATCTTGTTTCCTTATGAAACCTTAAATAGAACAGTGATGTACTTGATTATGCTGTACAGAATATCAACAGAACTTTTATTAGCCAAGGCATAACAGAAAATTCTGGGTTAGCTGGCTGCTGTTAACCAGAGTCAAATTGTCTGCTTTGAATTTAAAGAAAATTTTGGGATCACCGTTGCCTGCTACATTTTCCATGGCAAAACCTCAACTAGAGTTCACCGAAAAGTATCCTTTCATTATGCAGGACAAATTGTTGTCCCTTTCATTTGAAGTCAGTAGAAAGCGAATGGGATAACCTGTACGGTCCATTATATTTATCTCAAATTTGGATGATGCACTTTGGAAGTTCTTCATTTAAAGTTATGGTAAAGTTTCAGAATGGAATATCATACTTATTCGCATCATTTGGAGTGAACAGCAAGACATTTTATCACAAATAATTCACGTCTCTTGCAATTTGTTTTATACAGCCCTGTTTATTGATTTGAAATTGATAAACCTAAATGTTGCTGATTTTGACATTGTTACACAAGCTGTGAAACAAAAATTGTTATATTGCAGTAGAGATTTTGTTATGTGTGCTAATATCAGAATTTATTTTGTCGATTGAATTGCAAGTCTTCAGACTAAATTTGAGCCAGTACACTATGTATAAACTCTATTGTGGTATTAAGTGCATTTAAGTGTTTCTCGAAAAACACTATGCACACTGTTTACCAAGGACCCTGTATGTTAAAAGTTTCAACTCAGTGTTCGACATTACCAATTTTGGCATTTTTATTCATGTACTACTTTTGTAGTCCCAACACAACCATGCATCAAGTTACTGTCATCACATTAAAGGTGTTTTCCTACAAAAGAGGGAAAAAAATAAGGTTGCATTACATGATGCCCAATTTGCCTTTTGGATCGGGGGCTTGAATTGTTTGTATGTGTGAATTGGTGCACATCATGAAAAGTGGAATTCGATCCTTCACGAGTGCCTTGAAAGAAGGGGTTAGACTATGGAAATGATAGTGTCTCTAATATACTACCATTTGACCAATGAAAAAGATGCAATACCAAAGATTGTATGCAAATTAAATTAGCTAATGAAGAATAGCAGTCCCTGGGTAATTAGCCGCCCAGTCACCCAGCACAATGTTTGGTTTATCCTGTGACTCTTGACTTGGGATATAAAATGGTTTCAAATATAGTTAATGCTAGAAGGGAATGCAAAGCGGCCTGGTGTTTTGTTTGAAACTGGAACTCTGCAGATACCTTAAAGATCAAAGAGGTCGTCGGTGTGGAACCACAGGAAATGAGAGATTCTAAACAAATGTTTTGCGTCAGTATTTACTGTGAACAAACACATGGAAGCTAAGGAACTCGAGGAAATAAGTTTTGATGTTTCGCAAACAGTCCATATTACAGAAGTGGAGGTGCTCGGGGTCTTAAAAAACATATAGATAGTTAAATGTCTGGGACCTGATCAAGTGTATCCCAGGACATTTTGGGAAGCGAGGGAAGAAATTGTGGGGCCCTTACCAGAGATATTTGTATCATCTACAGCCACGGGTGAGGTGCTGAAAGATTGGAGGGTGGCTAATGTTGTTGTGCCTTTATTTAAGGAAGGCTGCAAGAAGAAGCCTGGGAACTACAGACCAGAGAGTCTGATTTCTGTGGTGGGTAATTTGATGGAGGGGATTCTGAGAGACAGGATTTACATGTATTTGGAAAGGCAAGGACTGATTAGGGGTATTCAGCATGGCTTTGTGCGAGCGCAATCGTATGTCACAAACTTGATTTGAGTTTGTTGAGGATGTGACCAAGAAGATAGATGAGGGCACAGCAGTAGAGATATTGACTACATGGACTTTAGTAAGGCCTTTGTCAAGGTTCCGCATGGTAGACTGGTTAGTAAAGTTTGGATCACGTGGGATTCAGGGAGAGTTTGCCAATTGGATACAAAATTGGCTTGATGATAGGAGACAGAAGATGGTATGGAGGGTTGTTTTTGGATTGGAGGCCAGTGACTAGCGGTGTTCTACAGGGATTGATGCTGGGTCCACTGCTGTTTGTCATTTATACAGAATGATTTAGATGAGAATATAGGACGCATGGTTTGTAAGTTTGTGAATAAGGTTATCAAAGATTACAAAGGGAACTTGATCAATTTGGCCAATGGGTTGAGGAGTGGCAGTTTAATTTAGATAAATGCAAGTTGTAACATTTTGGTCAGATGAACAAGAGCAAAACTTACACAGTTAACAGGAAGTGTTGTCGAACAGAGAGATGGAGGGGGTTCAGGTACATAATTCCCTGAAAGTTGTCACAGGTAGATGGTAATAAAGAAGGTATTTAGCACACTTGCCTTCAATTACTCAGACCATTGTGTATAAGAATTGGAACGTCATGTTGATGTTGTACAGAATGTTGCTGAGGCCACTTTTGGGGTACTGAGTACAGTTTTGGTTGCCCTGCTATAGAAAGGATATTTTTGAATTGGACAGGGTGCAGAAAAGATTAAAAGGATGTTAATGGAACGAGAGGGTTTGGGTTCTGAGGAGAGGGTGGATACCCTGGGGCTTTTTTCATTGGAGCATAGGAAGTTGAGGGGTGACCTTAAAGAGGTTTATAAAATTGTGAGGGGCATAGATAAGGTGAATAGCAAAGGTCTTTTCCCTGAGATAAGGGAGTTCAAAAGTAAAGGGCACAGTTTTAATGTGAGAGGAGAAATGTGGAAAAGGAATATGAGGGGCAACTTTTTCAGAGGATGGTTCACGTGTGGAATGAACTACCAGAGGAAGTGGTAGATGCAGGTAGTTACAACTTTTAAAAGACATTTGGGCAAATACATGAATAGAAAAGGTTTAGAAGGATATGGGCCAAACTTAGGCAAATGGGAGTAGTTTAGTTTGGCAAATGTGGTCAGCATGGATGAGTTGGACCTAAGGGTCTGTTTCCGTGTTCTGTGTTCTATGACTGTATGACTCTATACACCAAGTTACCCCATCACTTTTTAAAAAAATGCTCCAGAGAGTGCACACAACTGTACATTTTTTAATATTAGGATTACTGCAAAAGATGTAAAAGTACCTGGATAGTCAACTGGGATCAATTTAGCTGTTACAACTAAGCAGTGAATTGAGAGGAGTAGAGATTTTACAATGATCCCCAAGTTATCTTAGTTCGGCTTAAAGTGCAAGTGTTCTCCAAGAAACCAAGTGATGATTGAAACATTAGGACAGACGT